ATCTGACAGCCCAGCCAGGGTGCAGCAGACACAGCCACCCTCGGGCCCTGGCATACCTTGGCATCTGCACACACCAGTCTGACCCTGAGAAGGGGGCTGCACTCTCGTGTGACCTGTTACCACCACTCACCCTTCTGCACTCAGCTTGTTAACCCAGTGACCCCTGAAGGCATGTGAATTTGTGACACCTGAGCCCTGAAGAACAAAAGGACAAATTCTTGCGTGCAGTTTTGCCTAGACTGAATTCACACATTTCAAGGGAAATAAACTTCACTTTCCTGTTGACTGTGACCCTAATGATAAATATCACAAGTTGCAAATTTCTTTGAAAGATTTAGGCACTGTACCAAAGATGGTCCGTGTACAGAGCTAGCCTTTATTTCTTAAGTCCAGTTTAATCCTATGAGCCTTGATAAACTCTGGAAATAGTCACATTCAATTGCAAAATTCATCAAATCTACCTTCCCAGTGCTGTATGTTATACTGGTGATACAGAAGTGACCCAGATGAAATATTTGCCCTTACAAGTTCACAGTCCTATAAAGCAGATGAAGAAACATTTACATATAAAATAACAGAAATATGGAAAACAGCTTACCAAGAAAACTTTTCCAAAGGAGACAGTATTTGGGCTTAGTTTTGATGGGTGAGGAATTTTCCAAAGAGACAGGGAGGGAACTTTGTCCCAGCAAGTCCCAGAGGTTAAACACCTAGGATTCTAGCAGGACTCACCATCCTTCCACCATGAGGAGGCACTTCAATGCCCTCCACGTGGCTGGCATCGTACCAGGGCTTTGGAATAAAATAGTGAAGAGATCAAACGGTCTCTGCTCAAAGAGCTCAGGTTCAGGGTGGAAGATGGAAGGTTGAAGAGGGAGGGGACATATGTATATATCTATGGCTGATTCAAGCTGATGTATGGCAGAAATCAACACAAATTGCAAAGCAATTATCCTTCAATTAAAAATACAGAAAAAAGAGCTCACAACCAGTGAGTACCTCCTAGAGGAAAACAAGGGTTACCGCAAAACGGCAAGAACGGCTGCTGATGCTGTTCAAGGTGTCAGGATTTGGTCTCCTCCCATCACGAGGGGAACCAAAGACGAATGCTGAGACCACTGTTTGTCCCTGATTCAGCTCCCAACACCACTCTGCCACTCCTGGCTCGAGAACGACCCAGACAGCTGAAAGGCCATCACCGAGTGTGAATAAATGCACTTTGGGAGTCTATTTGAAGTTTTCCCTTCTTTTGCTAACAACTGCACTGTGTATTCAGGTGCAAGCTGAGAGGCAGAACCACTGGGTGAAAGCCACGTGAATCCCACAGAAACCGACCTCACGCAGCTGCGGGAGTGAAGGAGGCGCCTCGGAAAGGCGGCTGGCAGCAGGTCTGACATGGGCGCTCAGCGTGCACACCGCAGACATTCGGGAAGGGAAATCGGACGTGGGGTGAGGAAGACGGAGAACGAGCCTGAGGTGCAGCCCACACGGACAGTCAGGTGCCTCCGACCTCGGTGATGAGGGCGACCTGCGGAAGCCAAGGCCCGTGTCCCATTCACACATTTCAAGGGAAATAAACTTCACTTTCCTGTTGACTGTGACCCTAATGATAAATATCACAAGTTGCAAATTTCTTTGAAAGATTTAGGCACTGTACCAAAGATGGTCCGTGTACAGAGCTAGCCTTTATTTCTTAAGTCCAGTTTAATCCTATGAGCCTTGATAAACTCTGGAAATAGTCACATTCAATTGCAAAATTCATCAAATCTACCTTCCCAGTGCTGTATGTTATACTGGTGATACAGAAGTGACCCAGATGAAATATTTGCCCTTACAAGTTCACAGTCCTATAAAGCAGATGAAGAAACATTTACATATAAAATAACAGAAATATGGAAAACAGCTTACCAAGAAAACTTTTCCAAAGGAGACAGTATTTGGGCTTAGTTTTGATGGGTGAGGAATTTTCCAAAGAGACAGGGAGGGAACTTTGTCCCAGCAAGTCCCAGAGGTTAAACACCTAGGATTCTAGCAGGACTCACCATCCTTCCACCATGATGAGGCACTTCAATGCCCTCCACGTGGCTGGCATCGTACCAGGGCTTTGGAATAAAATAGTGAAGAGATCAAACGGTCTCTGCTCAAAGAGCTCAGGTTCAGGGTGGAAGATGGAAGGTTGAAGAGGGAGGGGACATATGTATATATCTATGGCTGATTCAAGCTGATGTATGGCAGAAATCAACACAAATTGCAAAGCAATTATCCTTCAATTAAAAATACAGAAAAAAGAGCTCACAACCAGTGAGTACCTCCTAGAGGAAAACAAGGGTTACCGCAAAACGGCAAGAACGGCTGCTGATGCTGTTCAAGGTGTCAGGATTTGGTCTCCTCCCATCACGAGGGGAACCAAAGACGAATGCTGAGACCACTGTTTGTCCCTGATTCAGCTCCCAACACCACTCTGCCACTCCTGGCTCGAGAGCGACCCAGACAGCTGAAAGGCCATCATCGAGTGTGAATAAATGCACTTTGGGAGTCTATTTGAAGTTTTCCCTTCTTTTGCTAACAACTGCACTGTGTATTCGGGTGCAAGCTGAGAGGCAGAACCACTGGGTGAAAGCCACGTGAATCCCACAGAAGCTGACCTCACGCAGCTGCGGGAGTGAAGGAGGCGCCTCGGGAAGGCGGCTGGCAGCAGGTCTGACGTGGGCGCTCGGTGTGCACACCGCAGACATTCGGGAAGGGAAATGGGACGTGGGGTGAGGAAGACGGAGAACGAGCCTGAGGTGCAGCCCACACGGACAGTCAGGTGCCTCCGACCTCGGTGATGAGGGCGACCTGCGGAAGCCAAGGCCCGTGTCCCGAGCCCTGCACACACCTGGTCCGGGAGGAGGAGCTGACAGATGGCCGGGAAGCGGAGCAGCTGCAGGCCAGCACGTGCCTCGGGGCCTCGGGGGGAAGCCCGCAGACCGGCCACGAGGCATCCGTGCAAAGCGGGCGTGCAAAGCGGCAAGCCCACTCCTCTGCCCACAGGCCTCCCCCGGACCCCCGCTGTAGCCACTCTCACCAGGAAGGTACAGAGACCTGAGTGTCCCTGGCCAAGTCGCAAAGCCACCATGTCCTGTGGTGACAATCGATAATGCCCGTGCACATAGAGAAAGATCCAGCGACGCCAGCTTAGCTTACCTGAGTTCCCAGGAAGAGAGGTTTCAGCCACCAGTGGCCAGTCCTCCGGATCCGAGACGGCGGCTGCTTCTCTATTATCTGCTCAGTACTAACAACCATATCATAAACGGGAGCATCAAACCATTCAAGGACCAGAAACGTAAGTGCTCAACCAAGTACAGATGGGCCTCCTCCTCAACAGATCCCAGTTCATGTGGAAAGAAGTTTCTCCAGCTTTCCTTGACCCAAGGCAAAGCCGAGTTTTGTGGGTTTTTTTTAATCTTAATTAGCATACTCATTTTCTAAAAGCATCAGAATGCTGAACTAACACCTATTGTCCATATGTTCTAACCATTCTGACCCCCTTCCACCTTCCCGCCACACACAGACACATTTACAGACACACACACACATACATATATTTCATTCCATAGGCTCCTGGAAAAGGTCTCAACTACACTGGATTGGAGACCTTCTGTATTAGTCAGGATTCTCCAGAGAAAGACAACCAATAGGATACAGGTATAAAGATCGTGATGTGCAATTTATATGCGTATATAACATATATATATATATATAAAACACGTGAAAGTGAAGTTGCTCAGTCGTGTCCGACTCTTTGAGACCCCGTGGAAGGTTGCCCACCAGGCTCCGCCATCCATGGGATTCTCCAGGCAAGAATACTGGAGTGGTCTGCCATTTCCTTCTCCAGGGGATCTTCCCAACCCAGGGATCGATCTCAGGTCTCCTGCATTGCAGACAGAAGCTTTACCGTCTGAGACACCAGGGAAGCCCATATATAACATATACACATATAAATTGCATATAAAGAGAGAGAGGGAGATATCATTCAACAATTGGCTCCCAGAATTGTGGGAGCTGGCCAGTGTGAAATCTGCAGGGCTGGCCATCAGATGGAAACTCAGGCAGGGTTTCTAGGCAGTAATCTTGGAACAGAATCGCTTCTTTCAGCAACCTCAGTCTTGACTCTTAAGGTCTTCAGCTGATTAGGCGATGCCCACCCACTTTAGGGAGGGTAATCTGCTTTACTCAAAGTCTACTGATTTAAATGTTAATCACATCTTACAAAAAGAAGCTATTAAATAAGTGCTCTGATACTCTTACAGCTTACAGTATACTAAAACATAGCTCATTAAAAAATTTAAGAAAAACGACAAATTGGGGTTATAAAGACTGCGTTAGACATATTAAACTATAACTAAGCTATATTATATAACAATTATATAATGTATAATCTGGTGTTCAGTGTACAGTCTTTAACTGTAGTTATCCAAGCATGTACTTTATAGATGGGCTTAATTTATGTAGGTTTCACTTTTCTAAAATAAACCCAGTCAGCTGTATATACAACTCCATGCACCAGACTTTATTATAGAGCATTTAGTAATTATCAAAAGATGAATATTTCTCCTCTGCTAAAGCTGGAAGTTTTGTTAAAGTTCCAGAGAAACCAGAATATCTGCCAATCAACAGAAGAATAACTATTTCAAAATACAACACCATTTTCATCTGAGCTATTTTCATCCCAAAGTAAGCTCTCCCTTAAAGAGACACTGTAAGTAGTATATATATACAGATGCTGAGGTTTCCCTTCTCCAAATAACTTGAAGACGCTTCTCAAATGAAAATCAATTTTACTTTTAAAAATAATAAAAAAAAAAGGCAACATCACTCCAAGTTGCTAAACATCCTGAATGTCTTATTTTCTGACCAAATTTAAATACAAAAGGTAAACCTTTGTGAACAAATGGACAAACGACCAACATATTACAGTCTACCCAGACTTGGCAGGTGTCAGGAATTCCATTTGCTGTGAATGAGCACAGAGCACTAAGGCACTGCCCGTGTGGCCGGAGGCTGCTTTATCTCCTTCCCGTGGCTCAGGCTGGTGGAAAGGGAACAGGAGAACAGCAGTTAGTGAAGCCTGAACGATCTCGCCTCCTAGTCCCTAGAACTCAGGGAGCCAACCTGAATGTCACTCTCTGTCATCAGCTACCTCCCTAACTCAGATATCCAGCTCCACTGGGAGCTAAGGTCACTGCACTGGAGGGAACTGCCCGGGGTCAAAATCACTCTTAAAAATCTCTTAAACATGTGCTGCTTTCAAGACGCATGTATTGTCTCTTCACAGTCTAATGCACGATGTTATTTTTTTTTCCTTGGTGGTTTGGAAAAAAAAACAGCTATTTCTTGGGGGGAGGATAAGATAAAGTGGCTGGTCTGGCTTTTGGGAAAATGCATGTTGTCAATAAGCAGACTGAGTCCCGTTGGAGGCTCACAAAACAAGAGGTGGGTAGGGACCAGATTCTCCCATCCTAAAGCGAACACTAGGGCGCGTGCTCATTGAGAAGAACAGACAGAATCACCTCTGTGATTTATTTCTCAATCTTCTCCTGCGTTCAGCACATACAACTTAATTCGGGCATGACAGACATCGCTGGTTACCTATCCAACATCTATGCTCCCCTTTCTCCTTATTAACAGAACCCCACTTTGCAGGAGGACAGTAACAAGCTCAGTTTAAATCTGCAGCCCCAGATCCCCTCGTAACTAGCAAGCTTCATGTGATTCGGTTCTGGCCAATAAGAGAGAAACAAAAGTAATACGGATTCGACTTCCATGAAAACTGTTTCTCTAATTTTTAAAAAAGGAGATAGATTCTACTGGCACACGTCTTTTACTAAATCCTTCACCATCTGCCCCTCCCTGCATGGAAAGCAGATGTCCTTGGAGGTAGAGTTGTGGTTCTGTGACCATGAAGTCCAAAGCCAAGGAAAGATAACAGAGCAGGAAGCGAAAAGAACCTGCGTCCCTAACTAGCATTAAAGCTGCCGTACCAGCCTTCAATGGGTTTCCCCGATGACTCAGCCTGTGAAGAATCTGCTACAAGGCAGGAGACACAGGAGATGCAGGTTTGATCCTTGGGTTGGGAAGATCACCTGGAGAAGGAAATGGCAACCCACTCCAGTATTCTTGCCCTGGAGAATCCCATGGACAGAGGAGTCTGGTGGGCTATAGTCCATGGGGGTCTCAAAGAGTCAGACAGGACTGAGCGCAGCACCAGCCTTGAACAAAATCCCTCTGGGCTACTACTCACAGCGTTCAAACAAAACCTCTGTTTGGTTCAGCTGCTGGAGCCTGATTTCTCTTATACATGACTGATCGTAACACATACATTTAACTCGCATTAGATCCAATTCCCCACTAGGGCTGGAATTCTAATATTCTTAGCCCAGATTAGGCTTTTATCCATATCCTCTTTTAGTACTAGTTTGACTTGGAAATTTTGTTATTTTTGTTTTCCCCAAATAAAACAGTAATGTTTCCCTGATACCTAAAGTCATTCAAGATAAAGTTACAAGGCTATTCACTAAGATTTATTTGTGATAATTTAAAATAATCTGAATGCTCATCAACAGGAAATCAAATGTGAAAGTATAACAGACCCATAAGCTAGAATAGCTACAGTTATTTTAAAAATTAGCAGATCCTTATTACTGACTTGGAAAGAAATCCTACTTCTGTTACTGAGAGGGCAAAGGAAGAGCAATGCACATAAAATTTAATATCTCATTTATATTACTTAAAATATACATACTGAAACTTATCAAGACATTTGTATATATTCTTATGTAAACATAGGAACATAACTGAGCACCAAAGAATTGATGCTTTTGAACTGTGGTGTTGGAGAAGACTCTTGAGAGTCCCTTGGACTGCAAGGAGATCCAACCAGTTCATCCTAAAGGAAATCAGTCCTGAATATTCATTGGAAGGACTCATGCTGAAGCTGAAACTCCAATACTTTGGCCACCTGATGCGAAGAACTGACTCATTTGAAAAGACCCTGATGCTGGGAACGATTGAAGGAAGGAGGAGAAGGGGACAATAGAGAATGAGATGGTTGGATTGCATCACCAACTCAATGGACATGAGTTTGAGCAAGCTCTGGGAGTTGGTGATGGACAGGGAAGCCTGGTGTGCTGCAGTTCATGGGGTCACAAAGAGTTGGACACAACTGAGCAACTGAGCTGAAACAGAAAAAAATCAAGAAGAATATATACTAAACAGTAAAGGGATAGTTCTCTCTGGATCATAAAAAGGAAGGAAGGCTAGGGAGAGAGGAAAATTCACTTACTTAATGAAATGGTATGTTGTTTGAGTTTATTACACAAGAGTCATTTATTAAAGTGGAAGTGTTAGTAGCTCAGTTGTGTCCAACTCTTTGTGACTCTATGGACTGTAGCCCGCCAGACTGCTCCATGGAATTCTCCAGGCAAAAGGACGGGAGTGGGTTGCCATTCCCTGCTCCAGGGGAATCTTCCTGACCCAGGGATCAAATCCAGGTCTCCTGCAATGCAGGTGGACTCCTTACCATCTTAGCCACCAGGGAAGCCCAAAGTCATTTATATCTTGCACTCAATCTAAAAATACAGAACAGCCTGAGTTAGAAAAGTCAAGTCACCTAAAATGTCACCACACAGAAATAACCATGGTTGACATTTTGATGAGAATCTCCTAGAATCCAGACCTCTCACTACATATGCATGCGCACACATCTTCTCATCCTCTGTAACACCACCCCCTCCTTGCATAATCCTCTCGCCCTCTTCTGCTGGCTTCCTCTCCCTTATCAAACTTCAGCACCCTGGAGCAGCCAGAGAATTCTGTCCTGGAACAACTTATCTCTGTAACTGGTTCCTAAATCAACTAATCCTGTCTCGTTGTCAGAACCTCTACGTGAGTTTCAGTCCTGAATATCCGGTTACCCACTTGACAGCTCCGTTCAGATGCTGAAACCACAAATCTAATGTACATCTCGCATCCAGACTTTAAGATTCAGCCACACCCTTCTCCTTCTCGCTCCACCAATAAAAGCAGAACTTTCCCAGTCTACACACACACACACACACATGCACGCACGCACGCACACATCACTACCAGCAGTTCCCAAACTGTTAGCCTTTGGGATGTCTAAGCTTTCAAAGATTCTGTGAGGTCAAAACTATTCTGGTAATACTGTGATGAAAACTAGCACAAAATTTCCTTCCTTCATTCCTACTCTCTCTACAAACATACAGTGGAGTTTTCCAGAGGCTACCTGATGTGTGATGTCATGATGGATGGAATTCAGAAGCAAATATAAAAAGTCCCTTATTAAGCCAGACTGTGTGGATCACCACAAATTGTGGAAGATTCTTAAAGAGATGGAAAACCAGACCACCTGACTTGCCTCCTGAGAAATCTGTACACAGGTCAAGAAGCAACAGTTAGAACTGGACGTGGAACAACAGATTGGTTCCAAATAGGAAAAGGAGTACAGCAAGGCTGTATATTGTCACCCTGCTTATTTAACATATATGCAGAGCACATTATGAGAAATGCTGGGCTGGAGNAGACTCATTTGAAAAGACCCTGATGCTGGGAAATACTGAAGGCAGGAGGAGAAGGGGATGACAGAGGATGAGATGGTTGGATGGCATCACCGAGTCGACGGACATGAGTTTGAGTAAACTCCGCGAGTTGGTGATGGACAGGCAGGCCTGGTGTGCTGCAGCCTATGGGGTTGTAAAGAATCGGACACGACTGAGCGACTGAACTGATTAAGCCAGACATTAGAGAGATCTGCAAAAGCATAAAACAACACTAATCTTCTCATAGTTCTTATTTTGAGAAGTCTAGTTATTTTTCATAAAAATCTGTTATTTATATCTATATGTAAACATTTATTACTGTTCTTTTAATTTTTTAAATCTACTTATTTTTAATTGAAGGAAAACTGCTTTATCATATTGTACTGGTTTCTGCCATACAACAATAATTACTGTTCCTTTTAAATAAACACATTTCAAGAACTGTCTCAGAATATTTCCTACATGACAATAAATAAACTATTTTAAAATAAAAAAAAAACTCAGTCTCAATTTTTAATGTGGAACATATTCACAGACAGAACTTACAAAGCCAAAGCTTTCTGGGGATCCTCAATAAATTTTAAAAGTGTTGAGAGGTCTTAATTCTAACCAGCTTGAGAACCATTCTTAACAACCATGGGCATTTAGTGAAGAGATTTTAAATGGATATCCAATATCACCATGTATAATGAATGGCACATGGGGTGAGATGTGTGTTTGAAAGAACGTTGAAAATATAGAGGCTATACTGTCAATATTATTCCTTATATTAACTGAGAAAACAGTAGAATGGTTAATTCAAACATTGACAGTTTTTGTTCTGGTTTGAAATACACGATATGATCAGAATAATATCCTTTTTGAAACCATGTGACAGATTTCCGTGATAAAAGCTGATTCTTATATGATAGAGAAGGCTTTGGCTAGTATACATTTATTATTCCTTATATTAACTGAGAAAACAGTAGAATGGTTAATTCAAACATTGACAGTTTTTGTTCTGGTTTGAAATACACAATATGATCAGAATAATATCCTTTTTGAAACCACATGACAGATTTCCGTGATAAAAGCTGATTCTTATAGAGAAGGCTTTGGCTAGTATACATTTATATAGGGATCCCTTTTGATTTGGAAAGAAAAACACACTAGAATTCCTCCCAGGACAGAAGCACCAGAGTAAAGGACTTCACTATCCACTTGCCCACTTCCTCCCCTCTAGAAAGCGGAAACCATTCCAAATGGACAGAAGCAGCAGCCTCAGAATGGACACGGACTAACCACAGTGAGAGGAACACGCAGCAAGATAATCCCACATGTTGCTTTAAAATGTATACAAACATGTTTAAAAATGGACCTTCCTGGTGGCCCAGGGGTTAAGAATCCGCCTGCCAATGCAGGGGACACAGGTTCGATCCCGGGTCCGGGAAGATCCCGCATACCTCGGGGGCAACTGAGTCCATGCCTCACAACTGCTGAGCCTGCACACGACAGCTATGGAAGCCTGCATGCCTAGAGCCCCTGTCTGCCGCAGGAAAGCCACTGTAGTGAGAAAGCCTGCCCACCACAACGAAGGCAGCCTGCCCTCGCCGCAGCTAGAGAGACTGGTGCAGCAACGTGGACCCAGCGCAGCCAAAAATAAACTACGTAAGCAAATAAAATTTAAAAATAAAAAAGTATACGTATACTACGTATATAAGGTGTGTAGAATATATTCTATCAAGTACACAGTTCAGTTTAACCGAAAAGCAACTGTTCACTCAGAAGCCTCGATATTTTTCTCAGAATCTATTTTAATTTTAAAAATCTTGCTTAAAAGGTGAAAAGACAGCCCTCAGATTGGGAGAAAATAACAGCGAACAAAGCAACAGACAAAGGATTAATCTCAAAAATATACAAGCAACTCCTGCAGCTCAATTCCGGAAAAATAAATGACCCAATCAAAAAATGGGCCAAAGAACTAAACAGACATTTCTCCAAAGAAGACATACAGATGGCTAACAAACACATGAAAAGATGCTCAACATCACTCATTATCAGAGAAATGCAAATCAAAACCACAATGAGGTACCATTACACGCCAGTCAGGATGGCTGCTATCCAAAAGTCTACAAGCAATAAATGCTGGAGAGGGTGTGGAGAAAAGGGAACCCTCTTACACTGTTGGTGGGAATGCAAATTAGTACAGCCACTATGGAAAACAGTGTGGAGATTTCTTAAAAAGCTGGAAATAGAACTGCCATATGACCCAGCAATCCCACTTCTGGGCATACACACCAAGGAAACCAGATCTGAAAGAGACACGTGCACCCCAATGTTCATCGCAGCACTGTTTATAATAGCCAGGACATGGAAGCAACCTAGATGCCCATCAGCAGACGAATGGATGAGGAAGCTGTGGTACATATACACCATGGAATATTACTCAGCCATTAAAAAGAATTCATTTGAATCAGTTCTAATGAGATGGATGAAACTGGAGCCCATTATACAGAGTGAAGTAAGCCAGAAAGATAAAGACCATTACAGTATACTAACACATATATATGGAATTTAGAAAGATGGTAACGATAACCCTATATGCAAAACAGAAAAAGAGACACAGATGTACAGAACAGACTTGTGGACTCTGTGGGAGAAGGCGAGGGTGGGATGTTTTGAGAGAACAGTAATCAAAACATGTATATTATCTATAGTGAAACAGATCACCAGCCCAGGTTGGATGCATGAGACAAGTGCTTGGGTCTGGTGCACTGGGAAGACCCAGAGGGATCGGGTAGAGAGGGAGGTGGGAGGGGGGATCTGGATGGGCAATACATGTAACTCCATGGCTGATTCATGTCAGTGTATGACAAAACCCACTACAATACTGTAAAGTAATTAGCCTCCAACTAAGAAAAATAAATGAAAAAAAAAATCGTGCTTAAAAAGAAAACAATATGTATCCAAAAAAAAAAAAAGAAGAAGAAGTTTGGATGCCCTTGTTTGTGCTTTTCAAAATGTATACGTCTTGATCGATATCATAAGCCATGCTCTATGCCCAAGGAGTCCCAAGAAGCGGTTGGTTAGAAAAGATGCAGCTAGTTAGCTACTTAAGTAAGGTTTTGCCAACATCAACCACTCATGCTTTAGCCAAATACCTCCTACTTCAACGAAGAGACTTCTAGAAAAGATACTTGTTTAAAAAAAAAAAAAATACCTCCGCAGCTGCAGTTCACAGAATGATTTCAGGTCAGCCGACTGCTTCCCCCAAAATTCCTAAAATTGAACAAGAGGTGGGTTGGTTGAAGTGGTTGACAGTTTTTCTACGCCAGAACACATCCTGTTAAGTCACAGAGAACGTTCCAAACAAAAAGAACTTACCAGAACATCGTCTTCAAGGTGTTGGAGAACGTCGATATCCTTGTCAAGATTGCTCAGCTCTTGAAGAACAAAGCTGTGAAACTGTTCTAGTTTATTCAGTCTGAGAAAAAACAAGAGCAACAAACTTCACCGGACCACCGGATATGACAAAGACATTCCTAATCTTATTGCAGCAATACTCCATATTTTTCTCTAGATGGTTCTTGTCCTAAGAATATACATCTCCTTTCTCTTCTTTCCCCTTGGAAATGTTGTTTTGAGGGACCACAACTCCATAAACTTGTGTTGAAACCCGACACTTACCTGCGATGATGTATCTGGTTTAAAAGTTCTATCAGGCAATCTGGTACTTCCTTTGCATTTTTGGAATAAAGTGGGCTCCTTCTGTACCTAAGCTAAACCATAACAACAAAATGAGCACATCCGGGTTAAACAGAACTATATAAATTGGGTATACGCTTTGTATTAAAAAGATGCTGCCCGCAAACATCATCACTAAAGCACTGTAACAAGACACCATGCTACACATTTCGTATCTTATTACCTCAGGTTTGATATCAATAAAGGACAATAAGTTAAAGCAGGAAAACTTATATTCATGCCACTGATACACATATTGAGTATCATGAACAAATTTCCATTATAAATCAGCTTACATTAGTATTGCAGAAAAAAAGACTGGAGATCTTTCAAGTTAGTTCAATGAATATACGTTAGGGTGAGACCATAAGTATTTTTCACAACAAATAATTCCTTAGGGATTTATAAACGGTAGGGAAAGGGAGGGGACGCAAATGGTTTCAAAGTTCCTTTTGCAGACAAGGTTCTAAGACCGCCTGCATGTGTGGTGTCCCAAAGATTTGCCCTGAGCAGCTGGCCACCCACCCACAGACCACCTTCCTCTCCGTCCCAGACGCATCTCTCATCCAGGCGGTCCCCTGGCCCCTTTCGTGTCTGTCACTGCGACCAAATCATTGCTTCCTGCTTGTCCAGTTTTCTGAGACTGCAATCAACAAAAACCAAAGCCTTTCCATAAGGTCCATCTGGTCCCATGATAGCAAATGGACGAGGAATAGCTGACCTGGTTTAAGCTGAGGTTTTGTTTTTGGTTTTTTGGCCACACCATGCAGCATGTGGGATCTTAGTTCCCCGACCAGGGATCGAACCCACGCCCCCTGCAGCGGAAGCTCAGATTCTTAACCACTGGACCCACTGGACCACCAGAGAAGTCCCCAGAACAGCTGTCTCATAAATACAAACCACAACTCACAAAGGCACTAAATTCAGCAACCACAGCGAGGACAAATGTACCTCCCGGAGACTCAGGCACACCTTCACACAGGAAGGACCACAATGGGATTAATGAATGTGAACCTGTTACTTCAGATGCATAACGAGCTAGCTTTTCATTTTTAATCCATAAACTTGTGTTGAAACCCGACACTTACCTGCGATGATGTATCTGGTTTAAAAGTTCTATCAGGCAATCTGGTACTTCCTTTGCATTTTTGGAATAAAGTGGGCTCCTTCTGTACCTAAGCTAAACCATAACAACAAAATGAGCACATCCGGGTTAAACAGAACTATATAAATTGGGTATACGCTTTGTATTAAAAAGATGCTGCCCGCAAACATCATCACTAAAGCACTGTAACAAGACACCATGCTACACATTTCGTATCTTATTACCTCAGGTTTGATATCAATAAAGGACAATAAGTTAAAGCAGGAAAACTTATATTCATGCCACTGATACACATATTGAGTATCATGAACAAATTTCCATTATAAATCAGCTTACATTAGTATTGCAGAAAAAAAGACTGGAGATCTTTCAAGTTAGTTCAATGAATATACGTTAGGGTGAGACCATAAGTATTTTTCACAACAAATAATTCCTTAGGGATTTATAAACGGTAGGGAAAGGGAGGGGACGCAAATGGTTTCAAAGTTCCTTTTGCAGACAAGGTTCTAAGACCGCCTGCATGTGTGGTGTCCCAAAGATTTGCCCTGAGCAGCTGGCCACCCACCCACAGACCACCTTCCTCTCCGTCCCAGACGCATCTCTCATCCAGGCGGTCCCCTGGCCCCTTTCGTGTCTGTCACTGCGACCAAATCATTGCTTCCTGCTTGTCCAGTTTTCTGAGACTGCAATCAACAAAAACCAAAGCCTTTCCATAAGGTCCATCTGGTCCCATGATAGCAAATGGACGAGGAATAGCTGACCTGGTTTAAGCTGAGGTTTTGTTTTTGGTTTTTTGGCCACACCATGCAGCATGTGGGATCTTAGTTCCCCGACCAGGGATCGAACCCACGCCCCCTGCAGCGGAAGCTCAGATTCTTAACCACTGGACCCACTGGACCACCAGAGAAGTCCCCAGAACAGCTGTCTCATAAATACAAACCACAACTCACAAAGGCACTAAATTCAGCAACCACAGCGAGGACAAATGTACCTCCCGGAGACTCAGGCACACCTTCACACAGGAAGGACCACAATGGGATTAATGAATGTGAACCTGTTACTTCAGATGCATAACGAGCTAGCTTTTCATTTTTACTGGGCCATTACCTCATAGTTTCTTTTCAGTTCTCTAGTGAAGTTTTCAAAAGCAGTGATCATCACAGAACCTTTCAAGTTCTCTGGCGTAACGTTTAAGGATGAAGTTGAAATGCCTTCTGCACAAGAAGAATAGAACATTAAGTAAAACTAACAAAGGGCTGAAGTAGGTGTGCTCAGCCTGCCTGCTGCCCAGAGCACGGGAAGTCCTTTAGAAACACAGGCATGACTCAGAGAAGACCCGCTGGCTTCTGTGGGTCAAGGATTTCATGATCTACAGACGTCCATGGCTGCAGCAAGACCAACTCCGACCGTGACCGACTGGGCCAGCTTAAGCCAAGTGTCCTCAGCTGATGCTTCACGCAGCTTCCCACCAAAACTCACTGTCTGGCAAGTGCTCATTTCAACAAAGTTTCCCAGCACCTTAAATCAGAGCAACTGATAGTACATCCAAGAAGCAGGCTGAGTGTTGTCAGAGGTTTCTAGGACAATGTGATGGGTAAGACATTCTAGGGACTGGCATTTAACAGTTTCCGGGTGCCAAGAAGCTTTACGAGGGCTCACAAAGGGTCTGGCACTGTATGGACCAACTCATTTAATTCTCACAAAATCCAAGTGAAGCAGGCACTGTTCACATCCACTTTTCACACAGGTATCACACAACTGGTGTGAGCTCACACCGACAGCTCCAGGATCGGAATGCAAGGCTGCCCGGCTCTTACCACCCCCTTCGAGTACCTGGGGGCCTCCAAATTTGCCTTCTGAGAGCCTTTTGTTTCAAAGGATAGTTGTGTTGCTCATCCAGAAGGCCAACCCCACGTATGTAGACATTTCAGATCATTCTCCATCTGTGGAGTGGATATTTCTAACACAAACATTTGACTAATACTAACTGGGAGGACTGATGCTGAAGCTGAAACTCCAATACTTTGGCCACCTCATGCGAAGAGTTGACTCATTGGAAAAGACCCTGATGCTGGGAGGGATTGGGGGCAGAAGGGGAAGGGGACGACAGAGGATGAGATGGCTGGATGGCATCACTGACTCGATGGATATGAGTTTGAGTAAATTCCGGGAGTTGGTGACGACCAGGGAGGCCTGGCATGCTGCGATTCATGGGGTCACAAAGAGTTGGACACGACTGAGCGACTGAACTGAATTGAAAGCAGATATCTGTAAATTTAAGAACACTTGGGCCCTGGAAATTGCCACAAAAAGTGAAGAGGGAGAAATCAAAATGCTAGGAGCAGACAGTGCTTGCTCATATCTACAATTTGTGCAACGATTTACTCATGTCTATGAGGACAAAGTGCTTCATTTTTAGGCTCCTGCAGCCACTCTGATCTTAAAACTCTAGCTGCTTTGTAGTTAACGTTGGGATGCTCAGTGCTCACACACCTGAAACATTTGGGGTGCCCGGCATTACCTGCCAACTCAGCTTCTGCCACCGAGGAAAGGGCTCCTGGTTCACCACCGTCTTCCAATCGTGGCTGTTTCCACTTAGCGCCGTGACGGTCGGCTGTGTCTGAAGGCAAGCGGAACACACTGATGACCACACACACACGTCCCCCTGCCCCAGATTTACCTTGTTCTCTTCTCACCAGTGAATATCTAGCCGTGATGAGCGGCAAGTGAAACGTGTTCCCGCCTTGTTACAAACTGCTGAGCATTTGGCATGGTGACTAAGGACAAGCCTCAAAGCACTAGGCGTGTTGAAGACTGGAAGAGGACCCGAGCACCCTTTGATGAGCTCAGTGACATGTAGGAGCACTCTCCTTTCCAGGGTACGGGCTGGCTCAAATGAAAAGCAGTCATGGTTGGCACCAAACCACTACCAGGGCTCCCTGCTGAAGCGGCAAGGTAGCAAGGTTTCCAGGCGGACTGGCCCTTGGAAGTCGATCGGATCAGCCCCAGGAGGGCGCCACCTGCTGGTGACGTGGAGCCTCAGCACCAGACTGAGGGCTGTCTCACCAACGAGGGCCTCCCTAGTGTTTAAGGGATCACATTCTCACTCGGAACCGGAAAGAGTTCACATCCAGCTGCCCTCGTGTTTTTTGTTTTGTTTTTTTTTTAAGTGAAAAGCATAAGCAATACTCTAAACTTGGAAAGGTGCAGCTATCTCTTTTCACTGCTCTAAAATTCAGGTGTGTTCTTTTGTTTGAAAAGTATCAGTTCAGTTCAAGTCGCTCAGTTGTAACCGACTCCTTGGAACCCCACGGACTGCAGCACGCCAGGCTTCCCTGTCCATCACCAACTCCTGGAGCTTGCTCAAACTCATGTCCATGGAGTCGGATGGGTATTTGCTAGGTAGCTGCACTGTTTCAAGGCTAAACGATTTTTTTAAATTCAGGAAAGAATCCAGACACAGCCCAGTCTTCCTACAGCCTCAAAACAAACAGAACTCAGGCTTAAATCTCACAAGGTGCCTACACCCCAGTGAAGACCCGAAGAAACCACTTAGAAAGAATTCTAGCTAGCCCCAGTTAGGTACCCAAGAACGACTACCATGTTTCCTTACATTTCTCTTTCTGCCTGTTTTGCCTCTTCTGGGTTTTTCTTTTTCTTTTCCCTCTCCTGACATTTGTAGCAATAGCTCAAAGCATGGCCTTGAATGTTCATGCCCCACCCACGGGAAAACAAAGCAGCTACTGGCATGGACGATATAACAGTCACCTCCAATGGAGAGAGGACTCCAGGAACACTGTGTAAATAACGTGACGCTTCCCTGAACAAGCTGCTTGGAATTTATGAACCTACTAAATGGGGATCATCCCAGATGGGCCACTTCAGAGACATGGAAATAATCTGGCACAGAAAACCCTTTGGAAGGGACAATCTTGTAAAATTACTTTACCTGAAATAGAGGTAAACGAGCTCCTCTAGGGAAAACAGCGCACTCCTTAAAGCATGCAGGTCCTAAGTGATGCAGCTGACTCAGCTTTGTTTCCATGGCAACTGCATGCCTCTTTGAACCAGGACTTTTGGACATTTTCACAAAGGGGCTAAAACTATGTACATGCAGCACTTAAAAAAATGAACACAGGGAGTAAACACGGCGTGGCCGAAACTAAGGTGATCTCGAATGAATGCTGGTTCTCTTGGTGGCTGCTAAAGGAGTGTCCACTTGCTTTCGGACACAGGTGTCTTTATTGCTGTGAAAGTTGAGGGCTTTTGCAATCTGAGGAGCTTCTGAACTTATTTTGGGCACATGTTGTATGTAGTGAATAATTTTGTGTCCATAGTGCATTTATTTACTCATACTTCTGACAAAAACAGTTTCTAGTGCCACACAGAACCAACCCTATGATGAACAGCCAAGTTCTCCCAAGTTGAGGCATTAAAAAAAAACCTAACCCGAAAGGAAAACAAAGGGCCAAAAAAGAAAAAAGCCAAAAACCCTCAACGGGGCAAAAAAAAGCCTTTTTAACAAAAAAACCCTCCCGGGGAAGCAACTTCCCAACGCCAAATCCCCCAGTTAATCCAACAAAGGGGAACAAGCCAAAAAACCGAAAAAGTAAAAAAAAACCTTAATGGTGAAATTAACAACCCGAAGGAAAACAACGAAAAAATCTTTTGTCTGGATTAATGCATTTTGCTTGCCAATGCAGGAGACTCAAGAGCTGTGGGTTTGATCCCTGGGTTGGAAAGATCCGCTGGAGGAGGGCATGACAGTCCACTGCAGTATTCTTGCGTGCAGAATCCCATGGACAGAGGAACCTGGTGGGCTATACAGTCCATCGGGTTGCAAAGAGTCAGACACAACTGAGAATACACACACAAACCAATTAATAATACATATGTATTTGTGAGTATGTATAGATGATTATTCAAACACGGAATTCTGCAGAGGTTCATCACTACATGATAGCATTGTCTAAGTTTCTTATTTATTTTTAAATTTCTTATTCTTATTTCTAAGTTGTGTTGTTGCTGTTTGGTTGCCAAGCCGTGTGTGACTCTTTGTGACCTCAAGGACTGTAGCCTGTCAGGCTCCTCCATCCATGGGATTTTCCAGGCAAGAATACTGGAGCGGGTTGCTATTTGCTTCTCCAGGGGATCTTCCCAACCCAGGGATTGAACTTGGGACTCCTGCATTGCAGGCCGATTCTTCATTACTGAGTCACCTGGGAAGCCCCTTTCGAAGAACGTACGCAATGAGGGCAAAACGCAAAATCATGAGTAGTCAGTCTTTCTGTCTGCTCTCAGCGCTGGGAGCCCAGGACATCCAGAGTTCCAGGGTAAACACTAAAACAACAGCCCATGAGCAAAAAAGCCAAACAGGAGTTTCCTCCTGTCTTCCCCCAAAGGATACCAGGTTTTGAAAATCACCCAACAAAGGGACTTTGTGGAAGTCTGAGAGTCCAGTGTGAAGGCCTGACACGCTGTTGGACAAAGAAAAATATCCGACTGGACGCATCCGAGAGGATAACAAGGACCGTCTCACTCGAGCCACGTCAGCGCGTGCTCAGGGCGGCCCAGCTCAGGCCCAAGAGAAACCCTCTGAGCTCAAGTTTTCTCCCTCGGGGGATGACGAGAGCATCTGGGTGAGTGCTCAGTTTCCCCAGCCACAGAAGACCATTTCTTTCTTCTCCATCCAGAATCCTGAGGTACACTACACGGCCTGGGGTGGGGAGGGGCTTGGAGAACAGCATCCAGGGTTCTCAGGGGGCATCGAAGGGCACAGATCCTACTACCTGTCTCAGGGACCCCATAAGGAAGCCTGCAGGGCCCCCATAAGGAAGCCTGCAGGGGCCCCATAAGGAAGCCTGCAGGGGCCCCATAAGGAAGCCTTCGCAAGAGCTGCTGGGCACGCATCACCTACGGGATGACCCTGCAGCTGGTCCACGGACACCACAAACAATCTGGATGCCTCGTCCACACACAAGCCCACCCTGGGGCTGGCTCATTTTGCACACTCCCAAGAGCACTCCAGTATTCCTGCCTGGGAAATTCTACAGGACAGAGGAGACTGGCGGGCTATGGTCCACAGGGTCACAAAGAGTCAGACACGACTGAGAGACTAAGCAACAACAAAGGGCACCTGCTGTGAGCACCCTTAAGGCAGCCAGACCCACTCAGCAGGACTGGGAGGAAGCACCAAGCATGAGCACCCACCCCCCAAGACCTACTCAGCAGGACTGGGAGGAAACACCAAGCATGAGCACCCACCCCAGACCCACTCAGCAGGACTGGGAGGAAGCACCAAGCGTGAGCACCCACTCCCTAAGACCTACTCAGCAGGACTGGGAGGAAACACCAAGCATGAGCACCCACCCCAGACCCACTCAGCAGGACTGGGAGGAAGCACCAAGCGTGAGCACCCACTCCCTAAGACCTACTCAGCAGGACTGGGAGGAAACACCAAGCATGAGCACCCACCCCAGACCCACTCAGCAGGACTGGGAGGAAGCACCAAGCGTGAGCACCCACTCCCTGAGACCTACTCAGCAGTACTGGGAGGAAGCACCAAGCGTGAGCACCCATCCCCCACAGCCCCAAGGAAGGCGACAGGAGGCTGTCAGCATCTGGCCTGCTGTGCAGCGTGCAGAGAAAACGAAGTCTGCAGAGGTTCCCTGGAGAAAGAAAAGCGTGGAGCAGGCATATCCCTACAAAAGGCCTGGGAAGGCTTCAGAATCCCTAGGAGACAAAATGCATTTCTCTCCTGAAGCCAATCAGCATAGACTAAATATGAAGACAGCAACGCAAAACTTCAAGGAACAGGAAACTCAAGGAAATGCGACCCCTCCAAAAAACACAAGTATACAGTATCCTGGCCGGGAGAATTCCATGGAGTGCGTAGTCCATGGGGTCGCAAAGAGTAAGATATGACTGAGCAATTTTCAAAAAAAAATACAGCAACTGACCTCCACACACACACAAAATATATGGAGCTCTGCAATTTGCCTAAAAAAGAATGCAAAACAGTTGCTCTAAGGAAGCTCAGTTAGCTATAAGAACACTCAAAGGTACAAACTTCCAGTGACAAAACAAGTTAAGTCCTGGGGATGAAACGTACAGGCAGTGGGGTGACTGCAGCTAAGACTTTATCACACATTTGAAAGTTTCTGAGAGAGTAGACCTTAAAAGTTCTCATCACAAGAAAAAGACTCACTATGTGTGGGGACAGATGTTAATTACATTCATTGTGATCATTTACAACATGTACAAATAGCAAATGATTATGTCGTAACTTGAAATTAATATGCTGTCAATGATATCCCAATTTTTTTAAAAAAGGAAACAATCTACACTTTTTTGGAGTCCCAGAAGGAGAAAAGAGGGAAGAGGAGCAGAAAGCTACTTAAGAAAATAATGGCAGGCTTCCCTGGTGGTTCAGTTGGTAAAGAGTCTGCCTGGCAATGCAGGAGACGTGGGTTCGATCCCTGGTCTGGGAAGATTCCACATGCCGCAGAGCAACCAAGTCCCTGTGCTACAACTACTGAGCCTGGGGACCACAACTCTGAGCCCATGTGCTGCGAATACAAAAGCTTGTGCATCACAACAAGAGAAGCCACCACAATAAGAAGGCCACGGACTGCAACAACGAGCAAGCCCCGCTCACCGCCTACTACGGAAAAGCCCATGCAGCAACGAAGACCCAGGTACGGCCAAAAATAAATAAACAAAATTTAAGAAAATAATAATGGCTGAGAACTTGCAAAATCTGGGGAGAAATTTGGACATCCCAGTTCAGGAAGCTCATAAACTCCCCCAAAGATTCCCTCACAAAGATCTTCTGTTAAGATACACCATAACAAAACTGTCTAAAATCAAACACAGAGACAGAATTTTAAAAGCAGTGGGAAAAAATTCCTCATATACAAGGGGACCCTTGGTTTAGTTGCTAAGTTGTGTCCGACTCTCTGTGACCCCCTGTAGCCCACCAGGCTCCTCTGTCCATGGGATTCTCCAGGCAAGTATACTGGAGTGGGTTGCCACTTCCTTCTTCAGGGGATCTTCCCTGCCCAAGGACCGAACCTGGCTCTCCTGCATTGCAGGCAGATTCTTTACCAACTGAGCCACCAGGGGAGCCATGCCCACTTGCATAGAATACCCTTTTCCAATCTTTCACTCTGAGCCTTTGTGCATCCTTAAGGCTGAATCGAGTCTCGGTAGGCAGCATATAGTTGGGTCTTGTTATTTTTATCCATTTAGCCACTCTCCATCATTTGATTGGACAATTTAATCTATTTACACTTAAAGTAGTGATTGATTTTTAAGGGCTTACTAACGCCTTTATATTCATTGCTTTCTGGCTCTTTTACAGTCCTTCTCTTGCTGTTTTCTTTTGTGGTCAATTGTCTACAGTGGTATGTTTTGATTCCCTTTCCTTTATGTATCTACTATAGATTATCAGAAAAATAGACTTCAGGTTAAAAAATATAATGTGAGAAAAAGGTCATTACATAATGACAAATGGATCAATTAATAAAAAGAAAGTAACAAACTGTAAATATATATGCACCCGATATCGGAGCACCTATTTTACGCAAACATTAACAGATGTGAAAGGAGAAAGCAACAACGCTATAATAGCGCAGGACTTCAGTGCCACCCACCCTGGGGTCAGAGAGGGGACATGCTAGGTGATGGGCCTCGGAGCCCAGGCTATGTGCTTCCTGACACAGACCTTCTTGTTTCGGGAGTAAAACCCCAGTTCCTCCCCTTGACCTTCAGCACACTTGGAGCAGGGAAGCAGATGGCATTGCCCTCCCCAAGGTCTGGCAACTGTCTCTCTGTATAGCGATTATATCTGCCTCCATTTGAATTATAGCCCTGTCAGCCAAAATCAGATAAATTTTGCTTAATTCTGCAAAAAAAAAAAAAGTTTAGAATTCTCTCACCTCTGTCTTCTATATTTTGCAGTTTATGTTGGAAGCTAGTAGTTTTCATCAATGACTCTGGGGCCACAGTCTTAAAAAAAAAGAGGATCAGAAATACATGTATTTGTGTCAAAATAAGCAATACACAGTATTACATCATCCCTTAAGAAGGAATAAGCCAGTACATTAAGTATAATATCAATTCTGGAAAACCAGATAAATAACCAACAATTAAATAGTACCTTAGATACATTTTCTTCAACATCTGAGTGCCCCAGCGAAGAAAGATCACTCAGTGGGCTGGGGCTGTGAAGCTCTGCGTATTGGAGAGAATGAGTAGTTTTAAGAGAATAAACATGCTAAGAAGCAAATGAGGAAATGACATTTCACTATCAATCTATAAATTAAATTTCAACATACCCTGCCCCCTGTAAGGGATACAGTTATTAAAAAAAAAGAAAAAAAGAAAAAAACTCAAACCAAAAAACACTTTGTATCTTTCAGAGTATGCACAGGTATTAGGTTTACAGGTTTGCAGATAAAATGAATAGCCTGTTACCTCACTAGATCGGCACCTTTAGTAGCTGCCCATGTGGCCCCAAATGTGTGGCGAGAATTCCATGACCTCACCGCTGTAGTTCTCTTTCCTCTCTGAGATCTGTCCCTTGATTGCCCTGACTCTAATGCTGCATTTCCTCTCTCCTATTTTTCTTCCCCTGCCTCTTTTCTTCCAGGGGCAGCCAAGCTTGGAGGCTGGCACTCGCCTGTTAAGTGTTACTAGGTACCCGCCAATGTGCTAAGCTGTAGGATGATAAAGGTGAAGAAAACAATATCTTGACTCTTACCAATTTAAAAGATGTCAATTGTTTCAATAAAACACAGTGGGGGCTGAGATAAACCTTATAAATCAAGGGTCGGCACACCCTGGCCCCTCAGGTCAAATCCAATCTGTCACTTGGCTTTATAAATAAAGCTTTACGGAAACACAGATATAGCCATTGGTTTACATCTTGTCTGTGACTGATTTGGGACTATAAATGCAGAGTTGAAGAGTTGCAACAGAAACTCTAGGGGCCAAAAAAGCAAAAAAATAAATACTACCTGTTGCTCTACAGAAAACGCTTACCAAACCCTGCAAATAACCACCATTTGCGTTTGTTGCTATTTTAAAAGCAGATGAACACCAGTGATTCTTACCCACAAGGTGATCTCAAATGTTAAACGGAATTAAAACACAAAGTCCTCTGTCTTTTGTTAATCAGGACAAGAAAGAGAAGATTAATCAATCATACCTTCACACTTCCTTCAACAGATATTAAGAGAAACATATTTTGCTTTTTTAAACTACCATTTCCAAAATACAATTTTTTCTATGTAAATCAACAGAAAATCACATACTTGTTTTCTGGGCAGAATCTTCAGGAGTTAAAAAGGCAGAACTACTCTGAAATTCGGTTCCAGAAATTTTGGGAGGTGTGACATTATTTTGCCTGGAGGCATCCTTCGATAAGGGTGTTAGAATTTTAACCTAAAACACAGTACTTTTTACAAAGTGTTATCATTCACAACCACTCAAGGCAAGTTATCAAAACATTCCAATACGCTTCCAATATCCTTTTAAAATGTTTAAGGATTGGACATGATTCATTTGGGAAAAAGAAACAGTGAGGCCATAAGATCCCAGGGCTGGAAACACATTAGGTCATGAATCAATAAACTAACTCAAAGCTGACTCTAAGTTCTCAAAGTGTGGTCCCAGACCACAGCCTCAGCAGCACCTGAGAACTTGATGGAAATGTAAATTCTTAAGCCCTACTGACAACACACTCAATCAAAAACTGGGGACAGGACCCAGCGATCTGCATTTCTGGTGACCATTCACATTTCTGAATTTCTGGTGACCATTCTGGTCATTCTGATGGTCACCAAAGTCTGAGAACCACTGCTCTAAACCAGAAGTCAACCAACGACAGCTCTATAGCCCAATGGGAATAAAGTTTTCTTAATGAAGTTTAATTGGAACACAGCACATCCATGCATTCGAGTACTAGACACAAGGCTGCCTGCATGCTACAATGGCAGAGGTGAACAGTTGCCATAGAAACCACATGCCCCAAGGGACCAAAATATTTACTACCTGGCCCTCCACAGAAAAGGTCTGCCAATGCTTGCTCTAAGTTATTCTCTTAAACTCCAGCACAGAGATGTCAGTGTCAGCTACCAATGCCTCTATAAAGTCAGCAGTGCCCTCACTGAGAATCACCACAGACTTCCTGGCAGCTGCCTATCTTAAATTTGTGGATTCTCAAAGCTTTGATGTTTTTTGGTACCTAGTTTTTTTTAAGCTGTATATTGCTAAAAACTGTTGAGCCTATTTCTTTTTTAAAAGATTTTTTGATGTGGACTATTTTTTTAAGTCTTTATTGAATTTGTTACATATTGCTTCTGTTTTATGTTTCGGTTTCTTGGCTCAGAAGCATGTGGGATCCTAGCTCCTCAAGCAGGGATCAGACCTGCACCATTGCCCTGGGAGGCCACGTCTGAACCACTGGGCCACAGGGAAGCCCTTCTGTGGTCTGTTTCTACGTGATGACTCCTTGTCTCAGGTTGAACACTCAACAAATATTTAGGTACTTGCTCTGGCTTATAGTTTGAGCTATCGCCACTCCCTGTCATTGCAGAACACAAGAGTCCCCCTGGGCAGATGGCCGAAGGTAGGCAGGGGAGGGCAGATAACAAGCTATGGCTAGAGAGCTGTGCAGTGCCAAGTCGCTTCGGTCGTGTCCGACTCTGTGCGACCCCGTGGACTGCAGCCCACCAGGCTCCTTTGTGCATGGGATTCTCCAGGCAAGAATACTGGAGTGGCTTGCCATGTCCTTCTCCAGGGGATCTTCCTGACCCAGGGATCGAACCCAGGCGGGTTCTTTTGTCCATGGGATTCTCCAGGCAAGAACACTGGAGTGGCTTGCCATGTCCTTCTCCAGGGGATCTTCCTGACCCAGGGATCGAACCCAGGCGGGTTCTTTACCCCTAGCGCCAAGGCCAGATCCCATCAGAGCACTAAACACATTATACTTGTGTAAGGTGAGCAGGGTGCTGCTGATGTCCTCAGAATCCCAGCACCGCCCACAGGAAATCCTTAAACACTTCACACTGTATTCTGTAGTGTCTGTGCTTTTGTGTGCATATATACATATATATATAAAATATATATTTATATATAAGTGTATGTATTCTACATATATGCACACAATTATATAGACTATATATCACATACTATATACACATGATTATGTATCACATTATATACTATATAAAATATATTTCATATATACATGATTATGTTATAGTGAAAGTGAAAAGTAAAACTAGAAAATTCTTACACACTTTGCACTAATTCTGTAGTATGTTTTTGTGTGTCTGCATATATACACACACATATAAAATGTTACACATATATGATTATATGTTACATAGTGAAAATGGAAAGTGAAACAGTTTTCATTTTCACTTTTCATTTTCACTATGTGACATAATATATAATCATGTATATATGTACATGTTTTATATATGGTATATAATGTGATATATACATATAGTATGTGATGTATATTTATATACATGATATACATTATATATAAAATATAATCACACACACATACTTTATTATATACACTAATTTCATTCAACAAAGGACATAAGTCAACTGCTGAGAAAGGTAATTCAGCTAAAAACATGATAAATTAAGCTTTGAATTGGTCTGGAGGACACTCATGTCCATGTTCTTAACTACTTTCCTACAAAACAAGGATAATTGAAGGGATTTAAGAAACATTCAGAGTTTATTCAATATTTATATAAGCCTGAAGGCATTTCAACCTCTGGCAACATAAATATTTAAATAATTAAAATCTTTGTGAATAACATGTCCACAAACTGAAAACTAAGAAGAATTAAATCAAGAAGTTTATTTTAAAATACAAATTCAAAAGAACACATATTTGCAGGAAATCAGAATAGCCCAGCTTTCAAGCATACTTTGTAATAAATATCTTTCTATAAATTTTCAACCAAAAAAAAAAAAAGATCCTAAATCTCTGCCCAAGATCCATATTAAATGTGTGAAAGTCCTTGAAGTTTCTACTGAAGGTGGTTTACACACTAGTAAACCACTGGTTTGTTATTTTTCTCTTCCGGAAAGGAGTTTTTTTAAATAAAGGTAGTTCAAACCTAAACAGACCAACTTGTTTCAAACTTACAGCATTAAAGGGCACATGCAAGCACAGAAAAAACTTAACTTACTCGATCTTTCTCAAGGTCGCTGCCACTGCTAGGAGGGAATGGAGGCAAGACTAGAATGAAAGGAAACAAGAGCCCGACGGGTTAAGTTTACTTATGAGAGACACAGAATACAGTCGAGAAGCAATCCCCACTTCCCACAGCTTGCTGAAATGTCTAACCCTCTAATTATTCAGCTTTGCTCCTCTCTGGCCAGCAAAGAGCCCGACGGGTAAGTTTACTTATGAGAGACACAGAATACAGTCGAGAAGCAATCCCCACTTCCCACAGCTTGCTGAAATGTCTAACCCTCTAATTATTCAGCTTTGCTCCTCTCTGGCCAGCGTGAATTCTTTGCTCCAGGTACGGCTTCTGAACGCCCTTCTCATGTTCTTGCTGCTGTTGTTCAGCTGCTAAGTCGTGTTTGACTCTCTGCGACCCCACGGACTGCAGCGAGCCGGGCTTCCCCGTCCTTCACCCTCTCGGGGTTTGCTCAAACGCGTGTCGGTTGAGTCGGTGATGCCACCTAACCATCTTGCCCTCTGCCACCCTCTTCTCCTTTGGGCTGCCATCCTGCCAAGCAGACCGGCCCATGTTCTTCCAGTTTTACCTAACCAGAATGCTTCCTCTTCTCCATACTTCTTCAAATCCTATTCTTTTCCCAAGGATTAGCTGAGATCCCACCCAGCCTTCCTTGAAGTTTTTCCTGAAGATTTCAGCTTATTACATCAGACTCCTCTTATCTGAACTCTTTACTCCACTTATCTGTAGTTCATATTTCACAATTATCGGTCAATTCCATATTCTTTAGTACTGTTTCACATATGAACATTTTCCCTTTCCCGTGTAACAGTAGCTGGATCACATGATCATACATCTCTTTGATACCCTTTCCCATCACATCCCGCCAAAGTAATACCTACTGATTTGTTTGAAAAGTGACTGGAAAGAAAACACATACCAAACTTACCTCTTAAGCTGCTTCTCCTGGTTCTTGTCTTTTTCCTACTAGGATACGACTTCAAGGATTTCCTTTTTCGGTTACCGGTCCAAGATAGTTCACTGCCACCACTACTTGAATCTTGATTACTCTCCGAGAAAAGGTGTTTCCTATAATCAAACTTTTACAGACACAGGTGATACATGAGAACTATTGAAAGGATGCTATAGCATTTATGTTCACTTAAACACATGACTACAAAGTTAGGCAAAAGAGAAGTAACTCCTTGTCTAAGACTGGGCTGTTTTACATAACAAAAGGGCACAGAAGTACAGAGAAGGGAGAAAAAGAAGATGATTATATCCCTAGATAGCTGCTGTTGTAAAAGATAACAAAACCCTCCCTAATCGTAGAGACGGTAGGTAACTCTCCAAACGCTGGTGCACCTGATTACTGTGGCAATACCAACTTCAAAATGCTAGCCCATGGGACTGAGAACCACAGCTAAAAGAAAGCCAGAAGTAGCTTTGTTTGAAATCCTTGATCTCAACTTTAGGAACAAAAATCTCATTTATTGCTCACACACAGATTTCTGTTCTAATGCACTGATGATAGACTTAAAGCACTCTGCTTCCCAAAGGAAGACCAACAGAGAGATGGAAGCGGATAATGTAGGAACAAAACAACATCACTGACTCAGAGCAAAAAATTTCTTTCCAATTCATTAACACTTCTGATTCTATCAGAGTAAATTTCAGCAGCTAGAAAGTCTTTAACACTTCTCTTTTACTTCAGTATCTTCTTTTAAATCTACTTTTAATTTGGAGGATAATTGCTTTACAATGTGGTATTGGTTTCTACCATATAACAACATGAATCAGCCTTAAGTATACAGACGTCTTTTTTGACAAAGCAAGGACAGACTTTTGGCTCAAAGCCCAATACAAGGAAAAGTATTACAATTCGATATAACTTTGCCATTCTCTGTTGTACCTACTTGTGGGCTTTACCCACTATTAGAATTAATGCTGATTTTCCACTTGAAAGTGAAATACTTCCTTTTTAAAAGACCTTAAGATAAATTTAACTGAGAATCATAAAGACGCAGAGCCAAGGCAAAGTCTGAAGATGGTATGCAAGTAACTAAAACGGGAAGGACTGCCCCCAAACAATGAAAGTGATTCCATTACCGACATCCTTGTTTCTTGCTTTCTATTATCCTCAAAAGCAGAATCTTTCCTGAAATCAAAATACATTGAATTAACGGGACTGTGGCCCCAACAGCTTCACCCTTCTTTTTTCTTCCATGTACCCTCTGTCTGTGAGCCCAGCGCAGGGAAGCACCCCATTCTGTGACAAACTTCTTGTCTTGCAATCCATTTCCATACATCTTCTGCCTGCCAACAATTTGCTATTTAAAACAAAACCTTTGTTGAGCCCATCCCCATGAGGCATATAAAGAAGAGGATGGCAGGGCGATATGAGCAAGTCAGCAGCGTTTCCTACCCGGTTCTGTCTTAGACTCAGCTGGGCGCTACGAAAGCCTTTCTGGATGATTAGTGGCGTCAAGCATCTTCTCACACACTTCTTGAATGTTTGTATATCTTCTTTGGGGAAATGTCTGTTGAAAGCCTTTCCCCTCTTTTTTTAATCAGATGATTTTTATTTTTTTTTTTTTGCTATTGAATGTAGGCATTCCTTATATATTTTGGATATTAATCCCTTATCAGATAACATGGTTTGCTCTTATCTATTTGCTAGCATACAGAAAGAAATTTGATTTTTGTATACTAATCTTTTTTTAAGGTTTTTAAAATAACATTTATTTCTTAAAAGTTAACACATGCATAATAGGAAACCAAAAAACACAAGGAGCAAAAAACAAAGTGATTCATAATCACAAGTAGTTTAGCATTTGGTGTGTCCTTCTAGGTCTCTTATATCTTTCAGTTTTGTTAAATTGAGGAGTTGTTTAATGGGGACAGCATTTCAGACGGGGGAAGATGGAAAAAGCTCAGGAGGTGGACAGAGGTGATGACTGTACAACATGAGTGCACTTAATGCCACGGAACATACACTTACAATGGTGAAGATGGCAAACTTTACATTATGTATATTTTATCACAATTTTTTAAAAAGTCAGCCCTATACTAAATGTTATTGTGCATGGGTGTGTAGTCTGAACAGGGATAGACTACGATAATCAAAGAGCTACTTTAAAATCCCACTTGGAGACTATAGGTAGATGGGGAACTTTAAGGAACTTTGGGAGACCAACGTTAAGTTAATGATCACCCCAGAAAGCAACTGGAAAATCATGAAGCAAAGCAGGCCTGTTTAACAATGAAACTAACAACAAAAATGCACAAGTCAGTGATGTATGCATTCTGCCGGTTGAGGTCACTAGGCTAATGATCCCTAGGACATGCTCCCCTGCACACATTAAAAACAAAAATAGAGGGGAAAGGTGACATTCCAAAGTGGAAAACCCTCATCACACTGATTGCTGTTGTTCAGTCACCAAGTTGTGCCCAACTCTTTGCGACCCCGTGGACTGTAGCTGCCAGGCTCCTCTGTCCATGGAATTCTCCAGGTGAGAATACTGAAGTGGGTTGCCATCTCCTCCAGGAGGATCTTCCCGATTCAGGGATCGAACCCATGTCTCCTGCATTGGCAGGTAGATTCTTTACTGACTGAGTCACCTGGGAAACCCCATTATACTGGTACCTGACATGATTTACCATAGTCTAGCATGTGTAACGCCCACTCCAGTGTTCTTGCCTGGAGAATCCCAGGGACGGTGGAGCCTGGTGGGCTGCCGTCTAAGGGGTCGCACAGAGTCAGACACGATTGAAGCGACTTAGCAGCAGCAGCAGCATATGTAACCTCTCTTTCGCTGATTTGAACAGTGCCGTGATGGTCCCAGTTTGACCATGCAGGGACAAGAAAATTCCCCAGCCTGACATGGGAGAGGAGCCGATGATGGAAGCTTAACTCAAGGATGAGGAAGACGGTGGCTTTCTCCCCGCTGTTCCTTTGACTATAAAAACGTAACCTATGAAGCACTCAAAGCCCTCTCATCTGCCTGCAACTCGCACCTTTTTAGCAAGAGCATGCTCAGCCATTACCAACTCTTTGGGACCCCACAGACTGTAGCCCTCTATCCATAGAATTTTCCAGGCAAGAACTAATAAGCTCTTCCCTTACCTGCCACTCTCTTCTCATTGAGTTCTTTATGCATCGAGACAGAGAAACCTGTGCTCTTCTGAGCCCTCAATTGCGTTCTGCGGTTTCAGTCTGAATGTAAAAGCAGTCGTACGTGCTGTTTTATTTATTCCAACACGAAAGAGCTAAAAAGCTCCGAGCAGTACCCAAGATTTCTTTGCCGTAAAGCCATCTGAATGTCCCTTTTAATTGAGGTACTCATTTGTAGACAGAGAAACAGAGACCCGGAGATGAACAGATTACTCCAGTCTGGAATCCTTAGCTCAGAGTCTGCAGTGGTTTTGCTAGATGTTCTCAGGGAATGAGTACCCTTCGGAAGACCAAGACCTACCCTCTGCTCTACATGGCCATATTCTGCAGGACAACACTCGAGCAGCCCCTTCCCAAAGACGAATCTAGACTTCTCAGAGCAGCAGCAACAATGTCCCACGCTTCCCAGAAGGAGAAGAAGGATTCTCAGATTCGAGCAGGGCTGGGGAGTTCTCACTGCTGAATGGAGGATCAGACAGGCGCAGAGAAGGGCAGCAGGTTTCCGGGAGGATCAGAGCCCCAGAGGAAGGCTGCAGGGTTGCCTGAGCGCGGCATACTTCCAAACCAGGTGGCACAGGCCCTCCAGCTCCCACTCCTGCTGGGGCGGGCGTGAGAGGTAGGAGCGAAGCCAGAAGAAACCTGGACTGCTCCAAGGATCTGAAAGGACGAAACACTGGATGCCTGGACAAGAAAGTGTGACGAGAAGGAAGCAGAGTGCGGGGGTAGGTCTCTACTCTCTTCTCATTGAAAGAGACCTTTGACCACGAAATGGCTAGCTACAGGGAGGATACACAAACGCTCCTTCTTAGTTCCTGGACAGCCTGACACATGTAAGCTCTACTCCTGGCTCCTAAGTCTCATGTTTTAAGGTCAGGAAGGAACAGATTTCACAGTGTGACAAAGAGTACTTTAAACTAACATTATTAAAGGAGAAATAGACCTGTTCATTGGTAAAGCGTCCGCCTGCAATGTAGGAGACACCGGTTCCATCCCTGGGTCGGGACGATCCCCTGGAGCAGGAAACAGAAACCCACAAACAAGTATTCATGCCTGGAAAATCCCAGAGGAGCCTGACAGGCTACAACCCATGGGGTCGCAAAGAGTCGGACACGACTGAGACAAATGCAGGTCCTAGAGCTGCATGTGTAATTTACAATTTGGAATTTACATATGTAAATTACATATGCAATTTACAATTACATATACATTGTAAACCCTTAAAGCCCCCAAATAATAAATGCTGACACAGATACACAACACAGAAAGATATCTAATAATTCAAAGAAGAAGAATGGTGTTTGGGAGGTGGAGCCATAACAATAAATAAAAATTAATGAAGTAAATAAAGGAAATTATCACTCACTGAGGACCCTTTGTGGGACTGTGTGGTTCTGGTAGAAAAATGAAGAAACAGCCCACATCAGTACTGGATCTGTTCATTCATTCCTTAGTTCGTCCATCAGTGAAAATATATTACTGAACCTACTGATGAGAAAGCCTAGCAACCAGAACCCTCAGAGACTGTTGGTGGTAATGTAGAATGCTCTAAAGACACTGGAAAACATCTTGGCAGTGTTTTAAAAAGTTAAATATACACCAATTATGATCCAGCTATTCCACTCCTATATATTCACCCAAGAGAAAAGAAAACATAAATCTCCATACAGAGGAGTTTCCCAGGTGGCTCAGAGGTAAAGAATCTGCTTGCAGTGCAGGAGACCAGAGTTCAATTCCTGGGTCAGGAAGATCCCCTGGAGAAGGGAATGAAAAACCACTCCAGTATTCTTGCCTGGAGAATCCCACGGACAGAGGAGGCTGGCGGGCTACAGTCCATGGAGCTGCAAAGAGCCAGACATGACTTAGCAGCTAAGCCACCTGCACCTCCACAGAGAGACTTATACATGAAGCCCAAGGGCTTTACTTGTAACAACAAGAAAACTGGAAACTCAAATGTCCATCAACAGGAGAATGGACAGACGAGTTGTGGTATATCCATACACTGGATCCACTATTCTCCATACTTTCCATATTCTCTTCAATACTATTGAACTGCTGATACAACACGAAGAATCTCAAAATACTGGGCTGGCCAAAAAGTTTGTTCAGATTTTTCTATAAGCAATGAAAAAACTGAACAAACTTCTTGGCCAATCCCAATAATTACAATGAATGAAAGACGCAAGGAGGGAAAGAAAAGAGTGCCTCCAGTCTGATTTCATTTAAGTAAGATTTTTAAAACTACCAACTCATCTATAGTGACAAAGCAGATCAGTGATTGCCAAGGGTGGGGGTGGGCATGGAGAAAGTGGGAGAGATTTCCAAGGGGCAGGAAGAAATTCTTGGAGATGATGGATATGGTCCTTATCTTGATTGTGGTGATGTCTCCCGGGTGTAGACAAATGTCAAAACTCAAATTGTACACTTTACATAGATACATGTTATTTCAATTATATCTCAACAAAGCTGTAAAAAAAAAATCACATGTATGACCCATTCTTCAGAGGCCTCCATGGAAAAGTGGCAAATAAATTAGTGCCAAGTGATACACATTTTCTGTCAAGGAGTATCCAGTGTTCTGCTAGGGAAAACTACATCACCAAAGATAATATTGGGGCTACAGTTTCCTCCCCCAGTGGACCACATTTTGTCAGAACTCTCCAGCATGACCCCTCTGTCTTGGGGGGTCCTGTACGCATGGCTCATAGCTTCATTGAGTTATGCAGGCCCCATGGCCACGACAAGGCTGTGATCCATGAAAGGGGTAGAGACCCGTAGGACAAGAGAACACTGCAGCCCTGCTGAAGTTATTCACAGAAAACCGCACACAACGCTCTCTCCTTGTGTGAGGCATGGCCAGATACAGGAAGGGGAAAAACCCAGACAGTCAAATTGCAATTAACGAGTCACATTAACAGCAGTCTACATGGTTTATGACTTCTGAAAATCACTTACCTAGATGCATCATTTAATGTAGGAAACTGAATTGTTGCTGATGATTCTTGTAAATCTATAGAATACTCGCGTTCTGAAGTAACTTCCAAGCATAAAAATAGAAAACAAAAATTGTTAAGCATCTGAAGTATACATTGAAATATACCATTCAAGTTGTATGACAGAAAAAAAAAATCTGACCTTTTTGTGTATCATCCAGTTTTGATTTTTCAGGTGAATCATCAGCGGTATTTGTTTGCTGCAGGAAAATGCATATATAAACATCTGCTTAATTAGGGTGCCTTTGAGACTTTTGGGACTCATTCTATACCTCCAAAGAAAAGCATTTGAATACTTAGATATCAGGCTCTTTCTTCATTAAATTTGTCTCCAAGTGACTATTGGTTATTAAAAAAAAAAAAAAGAAAAGATACCCACCCACAGGAGAAGGTTTACCCATCAAAGATAATCAAGAGTGTCTCACAGTTACTAAGGGAAACATCAAAGGAAGACTTACAAAAATGTCAACAGCATCATAACTGTTGAGATGTTCAAGTTTCCCAAAAGACACTCTATCTGTAGAAATAATCTTCGGTGTATATTTGTTTAAAAAATATGACACTATCATCACACTTCTCTATAATGTGTCCATGTGATCAAACATAAGAAAATGGACTGAACACCAATGCATGCCAAGCCTTGTGTTAGGAGCTTTATGTGTGTTGGGTTTTTGGTCCTAAGAGGACCACACTATAAACCAGCTATTGTTTGTTTTCTCTAGTCACTGAAGTCATGTCCAGCTCTTTACGACCCCATGGACTACAGCCTGCCGGGCTCCTCTGTCCATAGGATTCTCCAGGCAAGAATACCGGAGTGGGTTGCCATGTCCTTCTTCCTGGGATCTTCCAGATCCAATGACTGAACCTGCGTCTCCTGCATTGGCAGGTGGATTCTTTATCACTGAGCCTCCAGGGAAGCCCAAACCAGCTTTGTTCTCTAGATGAGAAGCCTCAGCCCCAGTGATGTTACATCATTTCTCCAAGTTCCCACGGTCAGTAACTAAGAGCCAGGTCTGATTCCAGAAATGATGCTGCTTCTCACAAGCTCAGTCTCCAAATCCCAAATGAGGAAATGAGGCAAAGCCAGCCCAGTCACACATTCCGTGGGAGAGTCAAGTTGAGGGAAGGCAAGGAAAAATAAGTGCAGCTGGTGAACCTAATTGAAAGGAGGGGATAGTCAAGAGAAGGGAGCGATGGCTGGCCGGGAGAAACTGGACAACAAGCCGAGAGAGCCGGCTTCCACCTGCCAGCGCCCTGGAGGACACGGTTCAGAACCCGGCCCAGGTCCCTGTACTTACAGCAGGCTCAGACTGGTTGTTTAAGGGGACAGTTATCAGGTGGTGGTCGTCTTCAGCCCTGGTTACCTCTGCTGGCTCCGTGGAGTCCTTTGCTTCGTCTATACGCATGAAGAAAAGAGCAATAAAAAAAAAAAATGGTAACAATAACCATACAAAATGCTGCATACGCTCTGCAAATGCTGGTCATGGGAGCCACACTGCTGGTACAGCGCCATCTTCTGGTGAGAACTGGTAATTAGGGCCTGCCTCAAAGATACCAAAAATCTAGAGGCACCTTGGCCTTTGGGTCTAACTCATAAGAAATATTTTACCAGTGCAGGGCCAGCTTTGTGGGCAGACAGGCCCCTACACGCCCCTAGCACTTGCCTCCAGCCACCCCACCATTATTTCTCCTTTGTCATTTCCAACTGACCCCCAGAGAGACTGTATCAGGTGGACAAAATAATTCAAGGCTTAATTTCCAACTTTTTTCTCCAAAGCAGTAGCACATTAATTACTCTTGTATGGCCACAGGTTTTCAGTAACCTCTTTCAAATAACATTTTATCATTGCTTCTACAGGGAATCCAGGTAAGAAATTTTGTTATTTCCCAATATACCTGTCTCTATTTTGTGGCTGCTAGGAATCTCAGGGTCTTCTTTCTCTAATTCACCAAAAACGGCTGAGATTTTTGTCTGGTCAGGCATCACCTGAAATGCACACCAAAACCACACGGTTTTTAAAAGCAGTAATTCTTTTCTAAATTTAACATTAACATACATAGAAATAGCAATATGATAATAGGAATGGGGGCTTAAATGGGGGCTTCCCAGGTGGAGGTAGGGGTAAAGAATCCACCCGCCAAGGCAGGAGATGCAAGAGACGTGGGTTCCATCCGTGGGTCAGGAAGATCCCCTGGAAAAGGGAATGGCTACCCACTCCAGTGCTCTTGCCTGGGAAATCCATGGGCAGAGCTGCCTGGAGGGCTACACAGGGTACACGTGGCTGCAAAGAGTCGGATGCGACTAAGGGACTGAACACACACAAGGGACTTTAATACCCCACTCACATCAATGGACACATCATCTAGATGGAAGATTAATGTGAAGACATCAGCCTTAAATTAATGTTAGATCAGATGGACTTGACATACACATAACGTTCTACCCAAAAGCAACAGAATACACATTCTTTCAACACACTAGAATCCAGGAAACACTCATATTTAGGCCACAAAACAAGTCTTAATAAACTTAAGACTGAAATCAGAGTAAGCATCCTTACCGACCACAATGATATGAAACCAGAAATCAATTACAAGAGGAAAACTGGGAAATTCATAAATATGTGGTGACTAAATGACACACTTCTGAAAAACCAATGGGTCAATGAAGAAAGCAAAGGAGAGTTTAAAATACATTTTGGCAAATGAAAATGGAAATAAAACATACCAAATTTATGAGATGCAACAAAAGCAGTTCTAAGAGGGAAGTTATAGTGATAAATGCCCACATCAAAAAATAAAGAAGAAAGATCTCAAATAAACAACATATCTTTACACTTGAAGGAACGAAAAAACGAGAAAAACAAATGAACCCAGTTAGTAGAACGAAGAAAAAAGAATGGAAATGAACAAAGTAGAGGCAAAAAAAAAACCCAGAAAAGATCAATGAAACTAAGAGCGATTTCTTTGAAAATATAAACAAAATTGCCAAATATTTCTCTGGAGTCACATATGTATTTTTATACAGAATGTTATACAGCCATTAAAAAGAAGCAAATTTGCCATTTGCAACAATATGGATGGACTGTGAGGGCCTTATGCAAACTGAGGTAAGTCAGAGAAAGGCAAATTCCATATGACCTTACTTGTATGTGGGATCTTAAAAATGACAACAACAAAAATAAGCTCACAGATACAAACAGCAGATTGGTGATTCCAGAGGAGGGGGTTGAGGGTAGGTGAAATGAGTGAAGGGGGTCGAAGGATACAAATTTCCTGTTTTAAAATGAGTATGTCAAGGGAATTTAACATATAGCATCGTGATTATAGTTAATACTATACTGCATATTTGAAGTTGCTAAGAGAGTAAAAGATTTCACAAGAAAAAAAAAAAACTCCAAAAAAGGGGAAGACCGGCAAACAAGCCCAATAAGGCAAATTATTTCACAATATATACAAAATGGGATCATTATGATTTATACCTGAAACAAATAATGTTTTATGTCAATTATACTTCAATTTATAAAACCCCAATATGGAAATGAAACAAAATATATTCAAATAGTAAAGAAGAATTAAATCTGTCACCTGTTTGTCTTCTCCTAAAGCTTTAATGGAAGCTTGTGATATGTTGAATTGCAGTTCAAAATGGATTTCTATTTTTATCACTTCTTTGTTTCGGATATTAATTGGCTTCTTCAGGTAAATTTTGAGCATCTTCATCTCAGTTTCTAGCAAAAAATAAAGTCCATGTAGATCGACAAACTGAAAAGGGTTGTGTTTTTAAATTTTATAATTTTAAATGACAACTACTGTCCAGGTTTTTCTGCAATAAGAAGCTGAAAAGATATTATTTAAATAAAGTTACTCTGAAATTATTTTTATCAAATGCACATGTGTTTTTATATACACACATTATGTTTAAGTAGTTAATCTTGCAGAAACAGAAGTAATTTAGCAGCATAGCAGTTGAGACAGGTCTTCTAAAATTCAATCCATTTTTTAAAAGAACATTTGTGAATACAAAGCTGTCATCTCTGACAGGTATTTTACTTCTCAATATATTAAGGACAACCTTCATTCTCTCACAACCACCCTTTTCTACAATTCAAAATAAAAATCCACTGTTTCCAATACACAAACTGAAATAATCCACACTCATTTCAACAGACTCCACTTAAAGAAAAATGGAAACATCCTCGGAGAGGCCTGCTTCTCAGGCAATAGTGTCCTTGAGGGTCTCCAATCCAGACACCAGCCCTTTACTGACAAATAGTGGTGGGTTTTAACAGACGAACTAGTTCAGACCACAGTTCATAGCGAGTCCAAGCATAAGCCGCGGTGAGTACAAGCTGCGTTGGAAGCAGCAGGAACAAAAATCCATGAGAGAGCCGGCAAAGCTCTTTCACAAACTGCTGAGAATGGAAAAAGGAAAAAAAAAAACACACACACCNAGTCCATGGGGTCACAGAGTCGGACACAACTGAGTGACTGAACTGAACTGGGCTGTGGGGCTAAATGCAAAGAAACAAGGGTGAGAAAAAATAGCCCGAGAGCTACACCAAACCCTCAACAGGCTCCTAAAGCACTGCCAGCCCCTTAGCAGGAAGGGTTGTGCACACAAAAGGCGAGTCTTGTTCATTAAGTTTGCTATACAAGCCTCAGCTTCCTCGACTATAAAACTACCAAGTCACACCTACGTCCTCCAGCTCCTATGAGACACTTTATGAATCTTAGAGTCTCCCCAAAAGGTGATATATTTATGAAGTATAGGATATTATCTTGGCAAGTGGGTTACTGAAAACCACCTCAGCAGCAAAGTTCAGGGTTCAGAAACTTACAATATGTAAAGTAATATTAGGATCTGACCACAGTCAGATCCATGGAAGTCTCTACAAAATATTGACTTCAGAGTAAACACCAATGATATGCTACATATCTTAAATAGTAGCAGATAATGACTATATAGCTTCCCTGGTAGCTCAGAACGTAAAGAATCTTCCTGCAATGCGGGAGACCTGGGCTGGATCCCTGGGTTGGGAAGATCCCCTGGAGGAGGGCATGGTAACCCATTTCAGTATTCTTGCCTGGAGAAACCCATGGACAGAAGAGCCTGGCAGGCTACAGTCCATGGGATTGCAAAGAGTTATTCTTAATTTATACTTATTTTTAATTTACATTTTTAATGAGATGTCTATAAACCCCCTTCCTAGAGAGAGGAGGCACTTCCAGCTCAGCGTATACTGTCTTTCCAATTCTGTGACTACAGAAACACTGGCTTCTGCTCCTTCCCATCTATGTCACCATAAAAAATATACATCTGATCTTGGCCTCGGTTCCTGACACAGAGCTCCTAAAATCCACTTTAAGCAACGGGGTGCTAGAAGCATCTTTTGCTCTCATATTTGGTGTTTGACCTTGGTTCCTGACACCAGAGCGTCTAACACCCTTGGCATCTCCTGAGTGATGAGTGTGTTTTCTAAGTTCATGAGGTGACTGTGGGCTGGAGGAACCTATACAAATTCAGGATGCAGACTGGTCCCCAGAAAGACCAAGGCATGGTTAGAGGGTTGGAACTTCTATCTCTCCAACCTCCAGGGAGGGGAGAAAAGGCCAGAGGTGGAGTTAATATTGGATCACGCCTACATGATAAAGCTTCCATAAAAATCCCTGAACTATGGGGTTCACAGAGCTGTTGGGCTGATGAACACAAACATTCCAGGAGGCTGACGCAGCCCAACTCCTCAGAAAGAGAAGCCCCTGCACTGTGGACCCTCTGGATCCTTTATTATGTACCAGTGAAGTTGCTCAGTCATGTCCGACTCTTTGCGACCCCATGGACTATAGCCTACCAGGCTCCTCCATCCATGGGATTTTCCAGGCAAGAGTACTGGAGTGGGTTGCCATTTCCTTCCTCAGGGGATCTTCCCGACCCAGGGATTTAGCCCAGATCTCCCGCATTACAGGCAGTCGCTTTATCATCCCCTACAATAAGCTGATAAATGTGAACAAACATGTTTCCCTGAGTTCTGTGAACCATTATAGCAAATTATGAAACCCCAGGAGGAGCTTGTGGGAACCTCTGAGTGGTACCGGTTGGTCAGACAGGTGTCAACCTGTAATTGACTTGCAATTAGCATCTGAATGATGGGCGGTCTTCACCATCCTTTCCTTCTCCCAGAGCTACACGGTGAAAGGCTCTCCTCTCCTGTCTCTTCCTTTACTGCCGCCTCATGCCCTAATTTCCCTCTTTTTCTAATAATATTTAACAGAAGAAATTACATAATGCAAGTGATTCTTGTTCATAGAAACTCAAATTGTGTTTATGAAACACAACTATTCTATTTACAAACCTATTTGTAAATTGCCTATATTGTGTAGTTCTTTGCATCTTCCTGGTTATTACATCTTACCAATTATCTCATTAATGTGGCCTTTAATCCACATTTTATTAATGTATTTTTATGAGGGTCACCGTTTCACCTTTTCAAAAATCATCCTTTAACAAAACACTGAAGTTAACTTATGTACCCAGGAAAGTCCAGCAAGGAACACTCAGGGCTGAGGAAAGACTGGCTTACCCTCAGGAGCCCCTTGGGAGAACCTCCAGTGAGAGTTCAAAGCTAGAAGGATGGATCTGTTCTTTCCAGGGCTTATAAGGTAAGAATCATGTTATATATTCTGCTCCACTTTTCACCCTGGCTTTCAGTAAGCTAAGCACCAAATCTGAATCTCCACGGAGGCCAAGTTCAGTTCAGCCTTCATGATAGACTCTGTCATGCTTGTCTGTGGTTTCAATTTTCCATTTCTCTTATTTTGGTATAAATAGGCAAGCTACCCTAGGTTCTTTGTGAAGTAAGCATAGAATTCATGTAATTGCATAGTGTTTTGTTAACTCCTTAGTAAACCCAGTTACTTCAATGATTATGTGTATTAAGTTATTTTCAAAACATCTTTGTATTTTTTAATAGACCCAATTCAGGGATCCTGGTTAAGTGTGATTATATCTGAAATGCTGAACTAGACCAGCACCTAACTTTATCGACCCAGAAAAGGATCTCTCCCCAATTCCATGCCCCTCAATTCTACCTACTGAGAAGAGGCGAGCGATGGAGATTTAAGAAGAGGGAGGCAAAGGGCTGATATTTACCTACGCGTTGTACATACCCACGTAACTCATAAATTGTTAGTGTAAATAAGTGGGGAACAGAAGGCAGGTACTATAACCACTTCTTAAAATTGTGATACAAAATGTAACACTTACCTTGTCAATCTTTCTTAAGTGTAGAGTTCAGTGGTATTAAGTATATTCACATAGGTGTGGAAAAGATCTCCAGAACTTTTTCACCTTACTAATCTGAAACTCTGTACCCACTGAACAGCTCTCCATTCCCCCTCCCCACGGCCCCTGGTAAGCACCGTCCTGCTTTCTGTCTCTCTCGACTTGACTTGACTTTAGACACCCCATTTTAGTGGAATCACACAGTATTTGTCTTTTTGTGACTAGCGTCTACTACTTAGCATGACATCCTCAGGGTTCATCTATGTTGTGGCATGTGCCAGAATTTCCTTTTTTTAAAGGTAAATAACAGTCCACTGTATGTACAGATTACATCTACTTTATCCATCCATCGGTAGATGAACACGTGGGTGTCTTCCCTCTCTCGGCTATTGTGAATCAGGCGGCCATGAACATTGGCATGCAAATCTATTCAAGCCCAACTTTCAATTCTTCTGGATATAAATCCAGAAGTGGAACTGCTGGATCCCATGGTGACTCTATTTTCAGTTTGTTCATGAACTATAGCCATTTTTTTTTACAGTGAGAAACTCAGGCAAGTCCCCGAACCCCAACATTACAGACTGGAGAAGTCACCAGTCCTTCCCCCGAGCGCAGCCTGGCTTCCACCACACTCACCAGCGCCCTCTACCTCAGGGCAAGCAAAGTTCGCCCTGGATTCACTAACCATACACAGCAACTGTAAACAGAAATAACACTCGGCAGTAAAACATGGAGTAGTTTAGAACGAACATCTTACCCAGTATGCTGAAATTCATCACTGCTTCCTTCAAAAGTCTTACTGAGTCCCACAGATCACTCTTGGGGGAAAAAAATAAGTGAAATTCATGAGCACTAACACACACTTGGGTATCAACATTCTCTAAGCACTGAGGTCTAAACAGGAATCAAACATGATTACCTCAGGATTGTTTATATAAAAAGTTACACTCTGACTCCCTAGGTTGAAATCAATCCAAAATTTCTCTAATTTTTCATCTGCAGGTTTTCGCATCTGTAAGATATAACTTCAGTGTTAATACATGAAAGGTTCAAATGAAAATTCCACTAAAAACAAAACTTCTTTCCCTAGAACCACCCTACTTTAAGATTACAGGGTCTCCTATTGTCTCTCACTTCTGCAAAACAGGAAGAAGGTTTCCATTGTAATAGCTCACCTATTTCTGGAAAAACTCTATATACTTATAAAAACTTATATAAACTTATAAAAACTCTATACTTAGCAATAGATGTTTAAATGTGTCAGATAACTATCCACACTGTTTTTTTCTAGTGCAAATCACAGAGGGAACAGTTCTTTGTGAAAGCAGTAACAATCCACATGGCATATGGATAGAAACTTCTAGCAAGGAGGTACTGTGATCAAATAAAAATGTTGATTGGCTGTCTAACTTGCCACGTGTTAGAAGAAGGCTAAGACCTGAAGATTTCCCATTATCCTCATTTTCATTGATTACAGTCCGTCCTCCATATTCATGGGTTCATTCAAACAAATGTGGATTGAGTCAGAAAGTTCTAAAAAGCAAACCTTGATTTTTGCCACACACTGGCAATTATTTACATAACATACTGTATTAATATTTACAACTATTTGCATAGCATTTGCATGGTAAGTAATCTAGAGATGATTTAAAATATGTGGGAGAGTGTGTGTTCATTGTATGCAAATACTAAGCTATTTTAGATAAGGGACTTGGGTATCCGCAGACTTTGGCATCCACAAGGGGTCCTGGGCCTGGCCCCCGGTAGGTACCAAGAAATGACTGTATTACAAAATAAATACATGCTCTTAAAGAAAGGAGGAAGGAAGAAAGAAAGATAGATTAAAACAGCATGGTACTTATAGAAAGAGTAAATGTCTCCTTCTTTGTCCCCCAACTTCACAGAGGTCCCTTTTCATGGGAACCATTAACAATGCCTTTGTTTCTTCCCAGATACATCAGACACACTCGACAAGGATATATAAAGTTTCTATTCCTCAGCAAGTGGGACAAACACTAGACTTACTCTTCTCCCACTTGCTTCTCCAATAAACAGTATTTCTTGGTCACCATTCCATCATGCATGTCCCCTTTTTATTAATAACAGCTACAGAGTTGAGCAAAGGTGTTAACACATGTCTGTGTCATGGAAAGCCAGTGTACAGACCCCTACTGAAACTGATGGAAATTTAGAAGTCCTAGAAAGAAGCAAGCAAGCAGGGATTGGAGTCCTCGGACAACCAGAATGAAAAACAGATAGACCTGAGACACAGGAATCAAGCTATCAAAATCAGTTTGAGAGAGAAAGAATATATCATGTAGTCATGATCTAACAGTTCAGCTCACAGAGGCCAAGAAGCCAGCGCTAGACCCAAAACAAAGAAAGAGTTAACGAGGACATTCAAGAGACGTGATCCAGGAAACCTCAGCCCAGTCCAGGTTCAGAGACCTTAGAAAAGTTTACCCGAAAAAAACCTGAGATGGTACAGGTTGGCGCACTTTTACAGGAAGGATCTTGTTCCTCTAGAAGCCAAAGAAGAGGGTGAAAAGAGACTACACAATTTTGGACTATGAAGAACAAGGTAGAATGAGCTAGAGAAAGGAGAGTGACCCCAGTTGCTGGGGACAGAGTGGGAGGCACCAACTGGAAGGATATAAGCAAGGGACCTGCCCTTTCCCTCCAATCCAGGAGTGAACAATGCTGCCCATCAACAGGATAGAGTAATGCAAGGTTCCTGTAACTGACCTCATGAACAAGGTGTACAAACTCAAAAATTCATTGATCAAGTAGTAACAGTAGAGATCTTACATAGTAAGCTTCAGAGTTGAGCCCTCTAGGAAGAAAGATTCCTTTAAAAAAACCCAAAAACACCCTTCTATGTAGTAAAAGCAGTTTGGCCTGATGTACATCTACCTATGGATCTCAGTATATAGCACCCAACAGCCCCAAAGACAGACATACCTCATGCTCACCAGCAAAAGCAGCAATGCATGGAAATGAATAGACCCTGCAAAACATCTCACAATTAAAAAGTAAAATAAAATATGGATGGACCCCCCACACAAACTACAAACATTCTATACACAAGTATGGATAACTAGGTGTGCTGTTAACTCCCTTGTTACAAAGTATGGAAGAGGCTCTCAAAGCTGCAAATGGAGATCTGTTTCCATGGACAGAATTCAAATCCCACCCGGCAGGTTACAAGCCAAGTTTTCAGTCCTGTATACACCACAATCCAGCTGCCTGGCAAGAGTCCTAATGAAAGGAGTGAATTCAGACAACACTTTCTCAAAGACTTAACTGTCCATAATACGTCTTTCCCTAGTTATCCTCAGACCTACAGGAAATCATTCTTCATAAAATCTCTCTGGAGGATATAATGTTACAACTGCTCTAAATCACAAATAAATACGTTACAGACTGAATGAAACCATTTTACACACACACTAATGAATCGCTAGACACAATGAGGCTTCGCTTCCGAGCGTTCTACGCAGTGGATAACCCAGTGATGCCCAGTAAATTCTGTATTCTATATTCTCCCCTAAAATAAAACAGACTCTAGATGTCCTAAAAATAATCAGACATTCAGTGATTTCTCTGGTAGTACGGGGATAAGAATTTGCCTGCCAATGCAGGAGACACAGGATCAATCCCTAGCCCGGGGAAGAGCCTACATGCCTCGGAACAGCTACGCCCGTGAGCCACAACTACTGAAACCCACGCACCCCACAGCCTGCGCTCTGCAACAAGAGACATCACCCCAAGAGAAATCTGTGCTCCACCATGGAGAGAAGCCCCCGCCTGCCGCAACTATAGAGAAAGCCCGCGTGCAGAGACAAAGACCCAGCACAACCAAAAACCAAATAAATGTTTAAAAAGACACTCGGAATAGAACTAGTCAATAAAGTAAAGCTCAGCGAAAACATCTTACCTTCTTTGGTCACCAAGTCTGTCATTTAGGTGATTGACAAACCGTCTACAATCCTTCAAAGTAAATAATGCAAACTTTTTGTTAAAGAAACCAAGATATTCAATTTAAATACTACCCTTTGCAGCATAACAGAGACCAGTGTTTGCATCTACATTTTCAGGATCCAGTGACATCAAGACTCCATAGGGACTTATTATTAACCATGATAACTGTAACAATGCTTTGTGTCAGAAAGAGGAGGCTCCAGGCTCAAGTTCTGAACCCCCAGCTGAGGAATACTTTATGTGCAATTATGTTTCCCTGGTTAAAAGAGTGAACAAGAGGAATACCTCTTACTGATGACCTAGACTATAATATTTGAGTAACCCTTGGCATCTATCTCCCCAGCGCAAGCCAACCACAAACCCATAAAATTTATCAACTGGGGGTTTATCCTGGTGGATTTATCCACTGCCAATTTTCCTTATCAGCAGTTCTCTCTCCAGCTCCTTCCTGGAATCTCTCTCCTGCTATAGGTTCTAAGAATAAAGAATACGTCTAGAGTTCTCCTGATCAAAAACCATTAGGGAAGCACACTTGTTAGCCCTCAAATTCTAAAACTAGAGAAGTACTGATCCAGGTTTTTTCCCCTCTTGCTGGCAGGGGTGTCTGTTGTGGTAAACAGTTCTCATGCTCCGTGTCCACATTCAGCACTAAAGGGACACGGATGTGAGCCTTCCTCTAAAAGCAATTCCACTAAGAAACTGCCGGCTCTGACGGAAAATGATTTGAGAAACAAGGTAATTACTTTTGTTTTGCAAAACTGAAAGTGAAAAGTGAAAGTGAAGTTGTTCAGTCGTGTCCGACTCTTTGTGACCCCATGGATTATACAGGGCGTGGAATTCTCCAGGCCAGAATATTAGAGTGGGTAACCTATTCATTCTCCGGTAGTTCTTCCTGACCCAGGGATCGAACCGGGGTCTCCTGCATTGCAAGCGGATTCTTTACCAACTGAGCTACCAGGGAAGCAGGTTGCATGAAAGACACCAAAAATTATTGGCTTCCCTTGTGGCTCAGCTGGTAAAGAATCCGCCTGCAATGTGGGAGACCTGGGTTCGAATTATGGGTTGGGAAGATGCCCTGGAGAAGGGAAAGGCTACCCACTCCAGTATCCTGGCCTGGAGAATTCCATGGACTGTATAGACCACGGGGTCACAGAGTCAGACATGACTGAGCGGCTTTCACTTCACTTCAAACTGCGGAGGCTGGAGAGCTCACGTCATAACCACCCCATAATACCCCTCCGCCACCAGAGCCCCCAGGCCAGCCTCAGCCTGCATCGTCACCCCAGCTGCTCTCTGCCAGGCACACTCTTTTCTTCTCCGACTCTCCCTACCCTTCCAGGTTTGTTGAAAATCACGTCCCGCTCCATGACGTGGTCTCTGACTGGATCCATCAAATTCACACAGTTCTGTCTCCAGGCTGGGTTTCCTGTAAAAATGTCCTAACTCTAGGCTGGTATTTGGCCCACACATACTCTATTTTTATTGTCCTCAAGTTATTTTCACAAAAGTGGGAAACAGGAAGCTTCAAAATGCAACATAATCACACTCAAGGAAAAAAACCCTCCCCTAAGCCCAACATACACAAAGGCTCTGAGAAGATGCTTCATGAGTATTGATTACATGGAATTTTCATGATCATGGATCTCACCGTCTCAAATTCTCGGTCGTTAATTTCTTTGAAAGCCTTAGCAATGGTGTCATCTTCAAACCACTGAGGGACAAAGTCCTCCCTGGATTTTCTCATCGTCAGTCTACACAACGCTTCACAGAGAGCCACCTGCTGGTCATAATCTAGAGATTAAAAACATGGCAGACAGGGATAATTCTGGGCACGAAGCAAAGAAGAAACGAGTTCCACAGATCAGCATTTGCTCTAAGAAGTTCCAGCTCAGAAGACTAGCCTGTGGCTTCTAGTTTGAAGTAGCAAGCTATATCCTGGAGCACTTGTAATCATTTAAAGTGTGAAAGTGTGAGTCGCTCAGTCATGTCTGACCCTTTGTGACCCCATGGACTGCGGCCCGCCAGGATCCTCTGTCTGTGCGATTCTCCCCGCAAGAATACAAGAGTGGGTTGCCATGCCCTTCTCTGGAGGATCTTCCCGACCTAGGGGTCAAACCCAGGTCTCCTGCACTGCGGGCAGATTCTTTACAATCTGAGCCACCAGGGAAGTCCCAATAATCACTTACATTCATCTATAAGAAATATTAGGAGAAAAATCCAAACAACAGGTCAACATGCAACAATTTCTAAAAAAATTAAATGTTACTTCTGCATTCTATATTTCAGATATATTAAAACATTCAAAACCAACTATGTCTAAGACTTGCAGACACAGAGAATAAATTAGTGGTTACCAGTGGGAAGAGGGAAGGGGAGAGGGGCAAGATAGGAGTGAGGAAGTAAGAGATATAAAGTATTGAGTATAAAATTAGCTATAAGGATACACTGCCCAGCATAGGGAATACAGAAAGAATTTTACAGTAACTATAAACTGAGTATAACCTTTAAAAATTGTGAATTACTATATTCTATACCTGTAACTTATATTATACATCAACTAGACCTCAATTTAAAAAAAAAAAAGGAGATTTTTTTTCCCAGCCTTAAGAAATATTTCTACTATAACAAAATCTCAACATAAACTGGTTTTTCAGAGCAGATAAACAAAACTACATATCCCAACATGCTTAGATTTTAAACAATTTTAAAGGTAAAAATCAAATGGCAACTGGATATGCAAACTTAAATTTGCAAAATAACAGTATATGTTGCTTGTGAATATATGTATTAATGTCTAAACATATTCTTGAAAATGGAAAACCAGTCCAAGTCAAGGATTATCTCTACAGATAAAGAGGGGAATGGGATGGGAACTTGGACACAGGGCTTTACCTGGAACTTTGATTTACTTAAAAAAGAATTTAAAGCAAATGTGGAAAAATGATCAAATTTGACTCACCTCATTGGAGAGTAAAGGAATATTCATTAACTATTCATTTCAGCATGCTTAATGCTTCAATCATAAATTAAAAATAAAATTCTACTTCCTATTTTCAATTTGACCATACTTTACTCCCCATAGTTCCCAGATGCTCATTAAACCCCCCATGTCCAGTATTTAATATTCTCATATTTAAAATTCTAAATGCTTCTTACCACCCACAGTCAAGATTGTCCTTGCAAGGTCTTTCCTGAAATATTTAGATAAATTTCATTTTACTGGGATGAACATAAATAAGTAAAACTTTACTACATTTGGCATTAAAATTTTAAACTGAGATGTATATTTTTTTAAGTATTTCAAACTCATTATCAGAATGTCCTCAATGTCAAGAACACATTTTTATGGGAAAAGTCTCAAATGTATATATTGACTTAAATATACTTTTTAAAGAGAAACCAGAACTACTACACATTCTGAGATTCTAGTTCTTCTGTAAAGTGAGTTTGATCATCTCTGAAGATTCAGCAAATGCTAAGATTCTGGAATTCTATAATCACCTCATCAGCCTATGAAGATGTATATTCTTTACTACTATTGTCACATAGCTTGACCCTGGAAGAAATGATACAGTAGGTGCTGTGGGTCTTTCCTATCACTGTTAGGAATCAAATTTTAAAACTGATAAAGTTACAGATGTAATGGGGTTAAGTTATCACATTACGGTAACCGCCGGAGATTCCCAAACTTCATGTTCATTTAAGAATTTCAATTAAATGCTAACAAGTGTGGGGCTGGTCTTTTTTAATGTCATAACTCCACAGTTGAAGAATGGATTTCAGAAATCTTGTAATAGTTCAGTTTCTCATAATAAATGGATGGATTTGTCACAATTTAGTAAAAGTTTTAGAATGGTCTTATCGAGAGTTCTACTTAATTTTATCTTTGCAGGTTTTACATTTGACTAGAAGTGCAGAACATTCCAGGTGAGAACACTCAAATGTTAAGACAGGACCATTGCATTAGTCTGAAAACTGAGCAGAATCCATCGGGTCAACTTCTCTCCAGATCTAGGTGCATGACTAAGGGTAATAATTAAACTACTGTATTCAAAGAAACGTAGCAGGAAAATTTCAGAGGAAACACTGCATCCTGCAGAGTTAAACGGACAAACCCGCTGAGCTCCACAGTCACCAACCACCTCTTTCAGGTCTGTGCTGGGCTTGGTCGCTCAGTCATGTCTGACCCTTTGTGACCCCATGGACTGTGGCCTGCCAGGCTCCTCTGTCCTTGGGGATTCTCCAGGCGAGAATACTGGAGTGGGTTTCCATGTCCTCCTCCAGGGGATCTTCCTGACTCAGGGATCAAACCCATGCCTCCTGCATTGCAGGCGGGTTCTTTACCATCTGAGCCAGCGGGGAAGCCCACACTGTAATAAACTGGATTCCCTCTTCTTGCAGGCACGGCTGCGTGTCACTTGAACAAAGCAGGGCCGTGATTTCTCTGATGCTGACTGGTGCTCAGCACACAGTCACAGGTTCAGGCTCAAATCTCAAAACAATTCAGTGCTGCTTCCCATGGTCAACACAACCACCTTACCTCCAAATTTCAATGTCCCAGGAACCATGTAACTGTGAGTGGGTCACCAAAACCCCCCAAATCCATCCCGTGGAAAGCAATACGTGCTGTCCTGGGACAGCTAACGGCTGGTAACCTGTGAGTGTCTGCTCCCTAATGGATTGCCTGATTCAACCTGCACTCTATCATTCAGGTATTAATGTTGGCTCTGTTTGACAGGTGAGCAGACTGAGGCGTTGTGAGTTAAGACTGTGCTCTAGAGGAACAACCAGCATAAGTGGCAAAACCAGGATTGGAAGGCTGAAGCCTGCCACCAGGTCTGTATTCTTAACATTCTCCCACGAGTCACTAATTCAGTTCACATTCACACAGTGAAAAATAATCTAAAGCCTGAGAAAAGTACTTCACCTCACAAATGTGATAGAACCAAAAAAAAAAAAAAAAAAACCAAACAAAAAGCCCACCACCACTGCAAACACCTAAACAGAACAAAGATTGTCTGTGTGCTAGTTGCCCAGTTGTGTCTGGTTCTTTGTGACCCATGCACTGTAGCTCATCAGGCTCCTCTGTCCATGGGATTCTCCAGACAAGAATCCTGGAGTGGGTTGCCATGCCCTTCCCCAGGGGACCTTCCTGACCCAGGGATCCAATCCAGGTCTCCTGCATCGCAGGCAGATTCTTTACCATCTGAGCCTCCAAGAAAGCACAATAGATTGGGGCAGTACGCTCCAGGGAGATTTTGCCCTTATATCACCACCAAATCAGGTCAAGGTCACGTACATAAGGCGACAGGGGCCCTCCAACAAGAGGAGCCGTCTTCTCTCTTCCCGAGGGACAGCTTGCAGAATGCCGTTCAAGGTCTTCAGTGCCTGTTGGGAGTCGGGAAAGGTTTTCAGAGGAAGAAACAAAAGAGGGGACTAGGCACAACCTTCTCCACGGGGCCCAGGGCAACGGCTGTCAGCAACTCACCTCCCTTTGGATAAAAGGATTTACAGCTTCTTCTGTCACTAGAAATCCCAAGGTCAATATGAAGGAATTCAACATCTGAATTTTCCCTGAAAGCAGAATTTTCCAAGAATCACACTGATACTAAAAAAAAAGAAAGGAATAAGAAAATGTACACAGCAGGAGAGGCAAAGGCTGAAAAGCCATGGGCAGCAAATGTTTGTGAAATTATCTAGGCTGGATAAGGGACACATGACAGCCTACTGCAAGTTCTAGAAACCCCCAGGGCACAATAGATTTGCAGGGCGTTTGTTGTTCAGTTGCTAAGTCCTGTCAGACTCTGCGATCCCATGAACTGCAGCACGCCAGGCTTCCTTGTCCTGCACGACCTAGACGTCCACGGAGAGAAACAGCAGCAGTGCATGCAGCGTCTGACTGTGATCATCGCATCTCAGGCAACGCTGCTTTGGTGTCCAGAGTGAGCAACGTGCAAGGGTGGCCCCTGCAGCTTCCCATTGTTTCTATGCGTTTCCCACATTTGTGTATTTCGTAAAAGGAAGAATTTTATAAAGGTCTTAGGCGGCTTCCCTGGTGGCTCAGACGGTAAAGAATCTGCCTGCCATGCAGAAGACCCAGGTTCGATCCCTGGATCAGGAAGATACCCTGGAGATGGGAATCGTGACCCACTCCAGGATTCTTGCCTGAAGAATCCCATGGACAGAGGAGCCGGGCAGACTATAATCCACAGGTCGCAAAGAGTCAGACACAACTGAGCGAGTAAGCACAGCGCAGCACATCCACTGCAGAATGTAGTGTGAATTTAGTAGCAGCTTTTCAAAATAAAAAAGATGGACAACAGAGAGAGGACATGACAATGGCCCCGATATCTACCCAGCTTTGTTTTCTTTATTTTTAATTGGAGGATAATTGCTTTATAATGTGTTGGTTTCTGCCATACAACATCGTGAATCAGCCGGAAGTATACATGGCCCCTCCCTCTTAACCCCCCCCCACCCCACTCCACCCCTCTGCATCTTTGAATGCATGGTTTCATAATTCAAAATGTGGAATTACCTTTAACTTGAGCTAAGCTGAACAACATCACCCTAACATCCAAATTACCTACCTTTTGTGCTCTTGAAAGACAGACAGAGGCATCAGAATTGATTTTAAGTTAAATCAGTAATAGGTAATTTTGCTGTCTGGATTTTAAAAGTGGCTCTCCATCCCTGATCAGAACTGAATGACCAAATGGTGGGAGAAGCAGCAAAATAAAGATGTTTACCAGAGGTAAATGAGGCACAATTTATAGCAAAATTCACTGCAGCACCACAATCTGACAACCATAAAACGGTCAGTTAACCCAAGTAATAGTTAAACCCACATCACTTCTATGTATCATTTAGATAAACATTCTTCTCTATTCAAGAATATTCTATTAATGAGAGGTCAGCGGCCAATTAGTAGTAAATAATACACTCACCTTTACTACTACTTCTGGAAATAGTCTAATGAAAAGAAAAAGTAAAACTTCTATTATTTTTTAAAAGCATTAGCAACTATAACATTAATGCATTAATGCTGATAATTCTCTAACAGGCAGAAGTTAACTTTAACTACTGTAGAAAAAAATTATAGAGAAATCCTATTTGGCCTTCAATCCACTTTATTAAAATCAGCCTATTACCTCCAATCAGGTGAATAATATATTTGAAAATAAATCACCTTATTTTTCTATAACATTGGTTACACATATTGTTTGTTACTATTTCATGCAACATTCCTAATAATAAAATATGAGTCATTTAGTAAAATCCACTTCTTGGAAAAACACAAGCTTTATAAACGACTTGAAGATTCCTGCAAATTACCAATGGTATCTGCTCAGGAAAGCACCCACCCCCATCCTTACCAAGGCGGTGTCAAAAAAATCTTCTGTCACATTCTTCAGAGATGTGTCTGAAGCTAGGTCTGCCATGCTCAGAAATCCCACTGTTCTTTCAAACCAGGAAACCATGTGCACAAGAAAAGAAATACTTATACAACCTCTAGGACTGAATTACTACTCCCCATTCAATAACATTTCACAACTCTGTCATTTTAAAGACCTCTTTCCATTCCCTGTCATTTCAATTAGGTCTAGTCCTGAAGTCTAGGCCACTCCAGAATGGACTCAGACCACTACAGGGTTGCAATAAGTTCTGATACCAGCAAGAACTGGAGACTGTGCCAGGATCATCCACACCAGAGAGCCTTATAAAGGGGCGAGTGAGTGGTCAAGAGAACGCAGGAGAAATTCCTCATTCCTGTAACCTGGGAGGTTACAGAAAACAAGCCATCCAAAGTCAAAGGACAGCAGATTCCAGGGAGCACTCCAGAAGTGGGCCAGTGCAGGACACAGGCCTGGCCACCTTCCTTCCTTCCTTCTGCCAGAAGCTTCCAGCTAATTGGAGATCCCCACCCCTCGCCACCCCCACCCCATAGGAACATCTATCCCAGTTCATATTACGCTGCTAGAATTGGTGTGATTTAAAATTAACATATAAACCTCCGTGTGGCCATGTGTGCTCAGATGCTCAGTCGTCTCTGACTCTTTGCGACCCCACAGACTGCAACACGCCGGGCTCCTCTGTCCATGGGATTCTCCAGGTAAGAATACTGGAGTGGACTGCCATTCCCTTCTCCAGATCTTCCCAACCCAGGGATCAAACCCGTGTCTCCTGCATGGGCAGGCAGATTCTTTACCACTGAGCCACCTGGGAAGCCCATAAACCTCTCTAGAACATATTTATTCAATAAAGCGAAGGTCATCTTTGGATGTTTTTTGCAGAGACTAGACACTCTTGTAAAAAAAAGAAAGAAAATCCTGGCATGCACAGTCAGAAATCATCAGTTGAATAAGAGGTTGGTGACATGAGTTTGTGATGAGGAACTCTTACAGGAGTGGGGCCCTGGAAACTTTCTCCACTTCAGAGTTGAGGACCCGAGGTACCATCTGAAGGCCATGGATGAATCCATCAGCTCTCAATCTTGGCTGCACATTAGGAAATCCTGGGGAGCTTTAAAATGCCCTCATGAGTGAGACCACTGCAGACCCAGTAAATCAGAATCTCTGGCAATGGGACCCTCACATGACGTCTCAAAGCTCTCTAGGCGATTCTAAGGTACAGCAAGGTTTGGAAGCTCTATTAAGTTCCAGGTGATTTTCTTTTATCTCAAATCAGACAAATATTTGCATTTGATTGAATCATCCACCTCCTAAAGCAAACTTTTCTCCAACAATCCATGGAAGAAATGTCCCAGAGGTCAGTGGGGCAGGGGATAAATTGAGACTGCTTTATACACAACACTATTAATATATATATAACAGATAAATAATAACTTGTTGTATAGTACAGGGAACTCTACTCAACACTCTAATGGCCTACATTGGGAAAGAAATTTTAACAAGTGGATATACGTATAACTGATTCACTTGGCTATATACCTGAAACTAACACGACACTGTAAATGAGCTATTCTCTAATAAAAAAATTTTTTTTAAATGTTCCTCTATAAGCAGAACTCACTGCCAAGGCACTTTTTTCTCCCTCCCTATACTCATGTTCAAAATTCTATGCTTTTAAATACATTTCTGTCACTATTCCATTTATGCCCCCAAATCCTGTCCCCCTGCCCCAGCCCATCAAAATCCACTGAGTATAGATTTAGACAGGTGGGCAAAATGCCACATTATCTGATCAAAACCTGGACTAGGAATTCACTCTGAAGGCATCGCTGTGCCAAGATTATACATGGTAACTGTTACACCAGTTGCCCCTACAGCTGTGTCATCCAGAAACCAGACAGATAATTATTGATGGATGCAATAACTGCTACTCGTGACGCATTTGGTGAAGGAGAAGTCGCTCAGTCCTCCTGAATCTTCAAGCACAGGGCCAAACTTGCTCCTCTCTGTAGGAAATTCTTCTTTTATGGCGAACCACCTCCCAGCACACTCTGTGTTGAGCCTGTGAGCCCGGTGGGCTTTTGAAGTATAAAATCTGGTACCCACCTCCACTCTGATAATATCAACCTAGTCTCCTGGGTCAATACCTACACAAATTAACACTACATGCTTTACAAGGTGTTTAAATTATGGCTGTGGCATTTCCATCACCAGCTAGAATTCCAACGGAATGTGGAAATTCCTATTTGGTTTCAAAACTCCAGTGGAGACCTGATCTGACACTTTTCAACTCTTGGGAAGGCATTCTGAAGTCTAAATACAGATTTCAGCTCAAAGCAGACCCCAATTCATCCCCTCAAATCAGCTTCAGCTTCCAAGGTGCCTTGGGACACCCTGCTCCATTCCTTTGGAGTTTTGGCTCTTTATCCCCACTTCAAATCACCTGCATAAGTAAGTATATCAGGGAGTTGTTGCTTAGTCGCTCAGTCATGTCCAACTCTTTTCAACCCCATGGACTGTAGGCCTCCAGGAATTTTAAAGTGAAAAAGGACAGACACATCTCCTTGGCCCAACCCGATCTCGATAAACTTCAGGTACGAGTGGGTAAATAGAGATTTCATTGCCAACTCGGTCACCCATCTATCCCCTACCTACCCTCATGTTCTCATCAAAAATCAATCTCAGGGCTGCAAATCTTAATCATGAAAAAAAAGTACAGCAAGAGACCGTGAAAACTCTGCTTTGCTTCCAGATGCCATTATCAAAGACACACACAATGTTACCTTCTGATTAAAAAACAGAACTGTGTGATTTGGGTGACCTAGAATAAGCAAAAGATACTTTTGCCATGTGTTTTTTTCAGATTAAACTAGGTTTTTAGGAAGTTGGAGAAGTGGCCTGTGACAAAGGATAAACTGATCATTTATCTAGGTCCTATCTTGTTATTGGAAAAGACCCTGATGCTGGAAAGACTGAGGACAGGAGGAGAAAGGGATTGACAGATGGTAGTCAGGTAGCATCACTGACTCGATGGACATGAATCTGAGCAAAAACTCTGGGAGATGGTGAAGGACAGGGAAGCGTGGAGTGCTGCAGTCCATGGGGTTGCAAAGAGTCAGACATGACTGAGTCAGTGAACAACAATAACTCTTGTTAATAAAGTCTATTGAAATAGTTATAAACCTTTTGGGGGAGGGGTGCAATAATCCATTATCTTCATTCTATATTTAAGCTAAATCCATTGAAATAATAAAATCATACCATCACTGCATTGACTTGTCAAGGGGAGGGGGGGCTGTGTCTGACTTATTCCTGTCCATTTCCCAAGTGTCTTGTCTACCCCATACATCAGGAAATACGTGCAACTTAAGTTTTGATTGAATACAGGTAATAAGCCCTGGCATCAATTCCTTTTCAAATCTGACTTCAAAGGAACATAAAATACCAAACTTGGCAACTGAATCTTCTCTTGTTCTTTAAATTACCCAAACCCGCACAAAATTAAAGATGACACTTATCTTTGGGATCAGACCCTGCTTAATCAGTAAAGGCTCATCTTCTTTGAGGCCATCAATGAAGAATCGCTGGATACATTTCAGCAACAGAGAAACATGCTGGAATTCATTTTTATCCAGTTCCTTGGGATGAGACCACACCAAGTTAAAAACCTTACACAGTTACATGTCAGTATTCTGATTACAAAACAAATGAAACTCACTTGCCTTATTTATTGATCTGTCAAGATGGCGTAATAAAAGACTGTTATATTTTTGAGGAACATGGCGCTGTCCCTGAAAATATTCTTTGATTTTCTGAAATCCTTCATCATGGAATGCATTAGTAATAAGCGATTGAAGCTGGAATGTTGACAGTTTGAAAATTACTCTTTTCCCCCCCGAGGATATTTATCTCATAGTGATATTTCTAACAATTGTTATCAGGAATAATTCAGTGCAGAAAAATTCAGTGCCGAAAAAGAGGGTAAGAATAGAGAGTTATGTCTTGAATAATAACCACGCAGGCAATGATTTTGGGGGCTTAAGAGAGTAGTTTGCAAAACCACCACCGGCACAGCACGGACATCACCAGGGGACTTGTTAGGAGTCAGAAACTCTGGGAGCAGGGCCTTTCAGGTGATCCTCATCATGCTAAAGTCTGAGAACTGCTGACTTACGGAAAACCACACCTGAATTGCAGGTATCCGTGGATAAAGAGACTTTATCCTCAGTGATGTTAGAAACTCTATAACACTACAAAATTCAAGCCTATTATTACTCATTAAGTTACATAAATGATTTTAACAGGAGAAAACAAATTCAACACAAATATTTACAATTAAGGGAACTAATAAACACAAATGGCTATGACGAATGAAACTGAACTTTTCTGCCTGAAAGTTAGTCAAGACCTATCTCTATATGTGTGTCTCTGTATGTGTGCTTGAACAACATGTATTCTTAAATATCTGTACTATAAAAGATATGTTTCTTCTTTAATCAAGAAAACCCAGTCCAACCCTACAGGCTAACTTACAGTATTTTAACAAGTCATTTTACTATATCCAACCTGATATTCCATTTATTCCTAGTTTGATTTAAGTGAAGAGAGAGCATTTGAAATTAAACATTTAAACAGAATTTAAGTTGTGTTATGCTGCTTCAGTCATGTCCGACTCTTTGCAACCCTGGGGACTGTAGCCCACCAGGCTCCTCTGTCCACCGGATTCTCTAGGCAAGAATACTGGAGTGGGTTGCCATGCCTTCCTCCAGGGGATCTTCCCAACCGAGGGATCGAACCCATGCTTCTTGGGTCCTTTACCACTGCGCCACCTGGGAAGCCCCTATCTAAAGTCAGTCAAGTGCAATTATTCTCCATCAAAACACCTGTTCCATTTTCTTCCTACCATCTTACTTTTGTTCTTAATCTGTCTCTTTGGCTCTCTGCCAGGCTGGAAGTTCTAGAAGAGCCAGCATTGTGTCCATTTAGTTCGATACTGTCTACCTCCACCTAAAATAGTGCAACGGAATAGCCTACGTTAGGATATTAGCAGTGTAATAAAGACATGGTGATAAATTGATGCAGATTAGAAAAGTAGAAGAGGAATTCTCAGGTTTGAATAACTGGGGGAAGAAATCACGTGGGTAGTCCAGGAAACAGAACAAGACAGCACACACACAGAACACAAACTTGATCTTTACAGAGAAAGCATCCTGGGGCATTCCACTCTCATCCTTTTCCTGAATGGACTGCAAAGGACCTTCATTCTCCTGTGTACAAAAAAAAAATTTTTAATTTATTTCAAAAAAATGCACTAAGTTTTAAAAAGAAATAAGGTTTATATTATTTTCCTGAACAAAACTTTCTTCATTCATGCCACTGACTATAGGTCTAAGAAAACTACGACTTAAGTTTTCACAAACATGCTAAACAATGGCATCTCACCTGCTCCCAACAATTAAAAACATAACTTTTAAAAAAATGTAATCTCTCTCCCAAAGAGGCTGTTTAAAAAAAAAAAAAAATCTAGCTTGGGCTAACAGTCCTTTGTGTACTGGATAAAATCCTTAAATATCAGCATATTTTACAATAATATTATTTTTAAATAGAAAACAAAAAAGGTGAATTTAAAGACTCAAATCCAGGCTTGTTTTTTCTGCCAACAGTGTATTCAAGAAAAGGAATGAGGGAAAGTACCAATCCACCCTGACCCCTCCAAACCCTGGGCGGCGGGGCTAACAGAAGCCCCAGAATCTTGGGGCCGTAGATCTGGGACCTGGGTGGGTTAGCGTCTTTGCACTTTCTACGCAACCAGAGAGAAAACGGGCTGGGAAAACATCCCGAGCAACTCGAAAAGAACCACTTCATTACCTTCAAACATTAATTCTCCAATTCCCCCTTCCCTAAACGCTTTACTAGCGAGGAACCAGAAGTTTCTATTCTACCTTACGGTCTGCCTGAAAGCGACCAATAAACTCCCAGCAAACCTAAGAACGTTGAAGCGCCCCAGCGCCGGTCCAGGGGGCACGCCAGACTTCCCAGGTGGCGCAGTGGTAAAGAATCCGCCTGCCAATGCCGGAGACACAGGTTCGATCCTTGGGTCAGGAAAATCCCCCGGAGAAGGAACTGGTAACCCACCCCATATTCTTGCCTGAAGAATCCCATGGACCGAGGAGCCTGGCAGGGCTACAGTTGCAGAGACGGTCACGACTAAGCAACCCGAGCATACTGGGCGAGCACGCCAGGCTCGGAGCCCAGAGCCCGACGGACGTGCGCCCCCGCGTCCCCCTAGAACGGTGGAGAGGGGGCCGGGGTTCTACGGGGCTCAGGTCCCCCCAAGATCACTCACCTCCCCCATCCCGAGGCTCAGGCAGGACGCCACGTACCCGAACCAGGGCGCACACCCACGCGCAGCGCCGCGCTCGGCCTCCCGGGTTCTGCCGGCGAGGGCTGGGGTAGCACACGGCTCCCGGATGCCAAGCTCCGCCCCAAACTCTAATTAATCATCTCGCCCCTGAAAACCTAGGAGAGTCCCGACATTGACAAGCGTGTTTGAGAAACGCTGGCCTGTTAACTAGGAATCAAGGTAAGGCCACCTGGGTGCACGCAAGCGCGCCTTAAGAAAAAGCGATTTCTCGAGGGATGAAAACATGTCAATTAAGAGACTTTAAAAGCGAACTTCTAAACTGATAGGCGTTCCCTGTGCTGAAGCCGGCAGTTTTCGCCCCACCTTTAACAGAGAGTAGAGCTGGTTTCGATCCATTGATATTAACAGACTGAAACCGAACTTTCCACATAGGAACCAGATTTGTACCCGAAACTGTAATTTTATTCCTGATATTACAAAAGAAAGGATTTTAAAATATACACACCTCGCTGTGCTCAGTCAAAATAAAATAAACATTTTCATCCAGTCTGCTTGTTTTCTGTCCACTTCCTTTAGCCCCACAAGAATGTGTACTAATGGCCAGGTTTAGGCTGATGGGTTGTCTGATATGGGAACGCCGTGACAAAAATAAGTTGGACTGGGATTTTCTTTAAAAAGGGAGGAAAAAGCAAGTAGACAAAAGGACCCCTCAAATCCAAACATTCCTTGTAAAAAATTAACTTGTATGATAATCGAGTGCTGTGGGTATTTGGGTGTCATGACGTTTACAGAAGGTATTTGCATCAGAGGTAAACTCAATGTAACCAGAATCCCTGCAAGTCAGCCCTGAGCTCTGCATTGTATCTCCAGTCCATTCAATACAGTACTTAGTCCATGGCTCATCATATCCATTCCAGGCAAATATGATGTAATTTACTTACTTTAATCTAAACCAAACTTTTAGATTCCTTTGCTTTTGAATTAATAAACTTTAATGATTTCAAAATCAGTTGTGAATACAGTGTTCTGAATCAATGTAAGTATTAATGCAGGAAAATTTAAAGGTTGATAACAATCAAATACAGTTTAAACACACTTTATTTTAGAGAATAAAATAGGTAATACAGTAAGAATATAATGTATGACATTTAAGTCTTCTTGATATTAGTTTTAATCAATTATTTTCAGACTGTGGGGAAAATATAACAGCCTTTCAAACTACATGGTTGTTAATGCATTCAAAAATTCAGGAGAAATTAAGGAGAACATCACAGACAACACCATTTTTTTTTTATGTTTTCACTTTGATTATCTTGTTTTACTAACATGTTTTACCCCGACATAATTTTAGGATAACTTGGAATATATATTCTAATTCTGCTCAAACTAAATACAGTAGAGACAAAGACTTTTCTTTGGATACCAGAATCTATTTAGGAAAAAACTACTTGATTAATTGACTTGGCTTTCATTTTTTTAATTGTTCTTTTTTATATTTTTGAAGGGTAAGGACTCTCTAGGAATATTCCAAAATTACAGAGAAAAGGAGTAGTATAACAGTGCTTACAATAAGACCAGAAATTAGTTTCTACATATTTTNGTATCACTCTTTCTCTGTATCTCTGTCTTTCTGTCTCTCCCTGTGTCTCTCTCTCTTCATTCACTCCTTTTAACCTCCTCTGTTTCACTCTCACTTGCCCCCTCTTTATCCTCTCTTTCATTCTCACTCTTTTTTTCTCACTCTCTTTTATTTTTGATCACTTTCAGACCATGCTACTTCTAGAAATAAGCAACCAAGGAAAAATCTGGACAAAGATACGGCAGCCAGAGCAGTGATGAAAGGTCTGGGCCCAAGAAGGGAAATTTTAGAGAGTGATTTGGAAGGGTTAGGAAGGCAAAGAGACTTTCCTCTATGGATTTTCATATCGAGGGTCAAGGCCAAACCCAAGGCAAAATCCAGCCTCTAAAACACCTCCAGGAACTGAGAAGGAATGGGCTTCCCAGGTGGCTCAGTGATAAAAAAAATTCACCTGCCAATGCAGAAGACACAGGATACCTGGTTTCAATCCCCTGGGGGAGGAAATGGCAACTCATTCCAAGTATTCTTGCCTGGAGAATCCCATGGACAGAGGAGGCTAGTGGGCTGCAGTCCATGGGGTCGCAAAGAGGCGGGCAGGACTGGGAAACTACTTCACTTCTGTCTGGCTATGCAGGTAGCTGCAGCGTGCCATCCCCAAGAACAAAGGCGTAGGGAATGAATTCTGGAAACCCACCCTCCCTCGCTGACCCGGGCGGCCAAAGAGCAACTTAAATTCCTTCCATTGGTTTCTTGTATTGGGCCCTTCCAATCCCTAAGGAAGTGGGTGCACAGCTAAAGAAGGCTTGGTCTCAGCCCTGGGAAGCCCACAGCGCCCTACCCGCTCATCTGCTTCCTCCAGTCTGCAGAGCCTCCGCAGCCGGAATAGGTGTAAATACGATTTTGTGGTGGTATTTCCACGACGATTTCCACGCGGTTAGGAAAAAAAAAACAAAACACTTTTTAAAAAGGGTCGTTTCAGGTGGATGGCGACTGAGAAATCCCCGAGCCTCAGATCCTTTTCCTAGCAGAAAGAAAACAGGCTCAGAAGTAGTCAAGGCGGCCGAGAAAATACAGATTTGGGGGCCGCAGAGTTCGCCCCTCCTTCCCCTTCCCCCTTCCTACCTGATGTGAAGAACTGATTCATTAGAAAAGACCGAGAGGCCGGAGCAGAAGGGGACGGCAGAGGACGAGATGGCTGGATGGCATCACCGGCTCAGGGGACATGTTTGAGCAAGCTCCGGGAGGTGGTGGAGAACAGGGAGGCCTGGAGTGCTGCAGTCCATGGGGTCTCAGAGAGTCGGACACGACTGAGCGCCTGAACAACATCATCAGCCGGAACAAAATCCCCGAAAAGGACGCGCCCCAAAGCTAGTAGGCGTGCGAGCGTCTTCTCGGATAAGGGCGCGCGGCCGCCGAGCCTCTTCGAGGTGGTTCCCAAACTGCCTGGGAACTGAGTATTGCCTCTCGGGGACTTTGCTGGAAAGGTTCTGTCTCAGAAGCCTCTCTTTATATCCAATCTGAAACGGTTAGGGAAAAAACATGATTTTCAACTTAGACATTCCAACCTCCCCCCAACTCTGGCCCGTCTAGGCTTCAGTTTCCCGTCACCTCGAGGGCTCAGGTCCACCTCCCCTCCGTCGCTCGCCCTGCCTGGGAGTGGGGGACCGGCCCTGCAGGGCCCTGGAGGGTGGGAGCGGGCGGGGAGCGAGGAAAGGCGGAGCACCGCGCGCGGGGCCGCGGGGCGGGGGCACCTTTAATAAACGTGCGGGCAGCTGCCTGGCGCCCGCGCTGCGCTCCAGGTGGAGACTTTTAAGCACCGAGACCAAGAACAGGGCTCCACCCGAGCCGCCCTGAACCCTCGCCCGCCGCTTCTGCATTTCTAAATCGGCCTCTCTGTCTGTCTCTCTCTCCACTTGCTTTTAAAACAGGGGGGAAACAACCGTGGGCAGCTCTAGGTTGGTCTGTTTTTCTTGTGTCTTTCAGGACCCTTGGCGCGGAGCACCCGCGAGGAGGAGCGGATGCCGGCGGCGGAGGCGCAGCTGGTGGACTGCGCGTGGTCCTACGGCATGAAGCTCAGCTGGGACATCAACGACCCGCAGATGCCGCAGGTGCGTGAAACCCGCTGCGCGCGCGGCTTTCCATCCAAAGAGGAGGGGTGTCTTGGCAGAGACTGTGGACCGGCCGCCCTGCCACCCCCCACCCCCAAAGGGAAAAAAAAAAAACAAACATCCCTGAGAGCCCTCCAGTGTTCAGGGACTCCACCGATGGCAGAGCTGGGGTGAGAGATGTGTCTTCTCCCACCTGTTTCCTCGGGAACTGTCAATTAGGCTCCACGTTTCGGGTCGTCTGGCCGGCGGGAGCCTGACTTCTCATCCCTCACTTTCTCTTAACCGAGGTAGAAATCCGCTGACTCTTCCTTGTCCATTCTTCGACATCCACTAGAAAGGTGGAGGGGCATCTTGGTGAATGTAGATGCCACCTCTTCTCACGCAGCAGAACTGTGAGATAGGACCATAAATTGCAGCGACCGCATCTTAAAGAGCAGGACTTGGGCCATCTATCCTGGCTGCCAGGATGAAGCGTGGCTCTTGGGGGGCTTTGTAGTCATGGTAACCAGGTCACAGGCGCCCAGACAGCCTTTGGAATCCAGGTTTTGGACACAACTTCTGAGCTTACTTCTCTAGTGAGGAGAAAATCAAAGTCATCTGTTTAGGGTGAATTTGTTTTATTTTTTAACAGAAGGAAGGAATGGGCTGGGCAGTTATGCTTGGTCATAGTGGTTAAAAGCAAAAACTGGGGAGTGACTTTAAAGTCCTGCGTGTAGGTGGAAGGAGAATTAGGAGTGACCTGGGAGCTTTTGCAGAGGTGAACTTCTGGCAATGCCCTGGTACAAGGGGTGAGAGAGACTTGACCTTTATGCAGCATTTCTTATGTGCCGTTCAGGTTTTAGGTGGACAGCAGTTCATTAGCAATGTTGTGTAGCTTCTCAAAGAGAGAAGTACTCTGGGCTACACATTCGTGGAAACCTATTTGTTAGTTTTAAAGCCTGCCTACGTTAGGGTCACACTGTGCCATTCACACTACAGTAAGGGCCTCTCCTTCTCACTGACTGTCCATGTAAATCCCCACGGGGCCGGGGAGGGGGTGGTTGGGAATCTGTTCTTGTGTTTTAGAGAAGAGCCATATCCAAATAAAGGAAGGATGGGTTCTCTCACAAGCGTTCTCTAAACTTCCCATGTAAATGTGAAGAACATATCCTCTGGGAGATTAGTTCTTAAACAGAGAGTGTGTGTGCCTTCTCTAAAGAGGTAGGTGCTCTGGGCTGGAGAAAGGGGATCCTGCTCCGGCTAACCCAAGGAGGAAGGGCTACCCTTGCGGTGTGACCTTGACACAGTTCCTGAATTTGCCTTAG